GCTGAAAAGGTAGGTATGAGAATGCCTGGGGGCATTATTAAAAACCCTTTTAGGAAAAAACCCTTTAAGAAATCAAGAGCCAGTGAAAGTGTCCTCCTATAACTAGTTGCACCAATTCACATATTATAAACCAGTCTTCTCAAGCAGTTTGTGCGATGCTTTCGTGCAAATGATGGTTTCACTATTTATGTTCCTGTTTATCATTGCTTTTATCCTGTCTCACAGCTAATATCCACTTTATTTATTTAAGAAATATAAAATATAAAATAGGGTTTAACGCACTGATGAAAATGCAAAAGTGGAAGGTTTGTATATTTATGCAAAATTTAATAAATTTAATAAATGATAAATTTAACTGCGTCGAATAAAAATTACCAAAAGTGCCTTAGATACATCGCCAAATTATTGTAAAATTAATTTTTGTAAAAAAGAGCTGATGCAAAAATCTTGATTCAAAGCTAATCTGTGTTTCTTCATTAAAAAATTATTCTGGCAACTAGTCGAGATTAAAAATATGAATATTGGTTAATGCCGAATTTTATTATTCACTAGGCACCAGCGATTTAGTTAATTAATCACTGAGAATTTAAACCACTTTTCAATTTCAGTCGGAAATGCAACTTCCGAAATGGTGGAAGAAATAAATAAGAAATGGTAAATAGCGATAAATTTCTACACAGATTTAATTTTCACCAAGTCACCTCTTCTTTCTACAGCACACGTCATTTCTGGTTTGCGTAACTCCATTGGCTACCAGATTCTTTGCTGGAGAGGTCATAGAAGTGCATATTGATATAACCAGCAGTCATTCGCTTAATTACGATCTGGATTTTGGTTTCTCGTCAGTCTCGGTTTTGCTCCCTTTATAATGAGAAAAATCGAACCTGTCCACTTTTTCGACTAAAAATACCTTCGAGCACTGACTCACTTTCATGAAAATGGCTAATTCTATTAATTCTACTAATTAATGGATTTTGATTTCGTTATTCTGAATCAAATTACACGATGCACAAATGATTTCAAGAAATGGCTTTTACGATTCCTTATATTTTTTACATTTAAAATCCATCTTTAATGGAGATTGCAAAGAATTATTAAAATTATGAAATTATTAAAATTTTTATGTTTCTAAGTATTTCTCCTTATTTAAATTTAACTTTAATTTAACTTTTGCTTTTAGAGCAATTGAACTGATAATTTGGAATGAAATCTTTAAAATTCTGTAATATTCAACTCATTTCAATAAAGAAGATAGCTAAGCAGTTAGTGTTCGCCATTTCTGGTGCTATTGCTACAATAAGAAATTTTCCCACGGAATAGCGAATTCTAAATGATCGGTTTCTGGACATTTGTCAATAATCTGAGCAACAAGGCTATCGTCCTGCAAATGGCCTAAGATGATTTTCTTTTTATCGAATGATACGTTTGAAATGTGGTTAAATATCTGAAATATAGAAAAAAGAAATGATTTGTTTTCACTGAAAGTGAAAATATATTAAATAAAACCTGTCGAACCAAATACAAGAAATGTTTTCGCTTTTCCATTCCAAGTACTTAATGGAATTTTGTGATCGAAATTCTTGAAAGCCTAAAATGAATTTTTATTATGGTAGTTATATGAATGAGAAAAATGAAGAATTAAGTTGTCGGAGCCATTCTAGGAAAACGCTGTCATCAATCAGGAAATAACCAATCTCGGTAGAAATTCTCCATCGACTCTTACTCTTTTTATAGCACTTATCTCTCTAATTAACTAATTTTACTCTAATTAGGATGAAAGCCCTACTTCAAGAAGACGCTTGAGTAATGAGTAATTCATCACCCAAGAACTTAATTTTTGATGACAAATAGCTTCAAGGACAGGAATGATTTAAGTTGATGCCACCCGAACATGTTGTCACCTTCGATTTATTACATGGCAACTATTGTAAAATTGTAAATTTTTTAAATGTCGAAATGTTTTCCCGGTAAGCTAGAAAAAGTTATTACGCCAAATTCATTCGAAAGAAATCAGTTAAAAAACGAAATTTAGGAACAAAAAATTAATTAAAGGTTCAAAATTAAAGGTTCGAAAACTTTTTATTTACTTAGATTTGTCTGGAATTGTCTGCTTGTTCGATTTCTTCATTTAATTTCTTCATTTATAAGCCAGTAACTGAAGAAATTCTTTTGACTAATGAAACTGAAGGATTTGACAAAGACTTAATTCCGAAATTAAAAGAAAAATTATTGCGAGGAATAATTATAAAGCGCTGAAAGTGTTTAAGACCAAATATTGCATTTTTTTTCACCACCTTCAATATCAAAATGGCACCAATACCCTCTGAGTAAAAAATTTAAGAATTTCGGTATGGAAATTCTTTAAATTTTATACTTGACATTCAAGTAATTTTCAAGCAGAAAATCGAGCGTAATGTATGTAGTCCCAATTAAGTTATAGCTTTCACAGGTCCGATTCTTTTCTCTCGGCGGAAAAAATCTACTACCAAAAGTGGGATTTAGTACTTAGCACTTACTTGCAATCCACTTGCATTTCCATCCCGAAGCAACTTTCTCGGCGGAAAAAATCTACTACCAAAAGTGGGATTTAGCACTTAGTACTTACTTGCAATCCACTTGCATTTCCATCCCGAAGCAACTTTCTGGCGAAGCGGCCTCCAAATATGTGAAGCTAGCCAAATCAAAAATTGTGAATATTGTTAGAAAAAGAAGAAGAAATGAGACCACTAGTTGCAAATTTCAACTAACTCCAACTTGATAGCCGATTATTTCAAAAAAAAATTGTTACCAATAGGTAACACAAATAACGAAAATGAGCTATTAACTAATAAACGAATAATATTTTAAGCCATTTTCACCCAACTTTGAAACATTTTTAAAGATGTTTCGAAAGCACTGATCCTTGTAAAAATAGGTTTCCTCATGAATGGCCATGGATCATTTTCCTGCTTGCAAAATCGCTCAAGTATATTCGTGCTCCGCCTTCACGAACAGATGAAACTTGTTTGATACTTTCTCTGAAATTATAAAAAGGTGCATAGAGCCATGATCTTCGCTAAGAGCCAATAACTTATAATAACAACGATCTGCTTATTTTTTTGAAACTTCTGGGCCTCATTCATCCTAAATTAACGTAAGGTTGTTTCATTTTCTAAAATCTTTTTGAACAATTTGAACAATTTTTTGAAGAGCGAGAAGAACATTTTATTGTGATATGCAATTTTTAATTCAAAAATATTTTTGCTTATCGTTCAAAATTTTTGCTTATTAGTTATAGTCAAGTTCATGAAAATTTATTTAGCAAGTTGCAAGCTGTTGTTTAATTGTCGAAAGTTATCATTTTTGGTTAGGCTTATTTATTAGGCCTATTACCGATTAGGACAAGACACCTTCTTCAGAGGCTCACTCAGTAGCAGGAATGCTTTTGGCATCTCCTAGATTTTTTTTATGGCAGGCTTACTTCGTCTGTGGTAATGACTATATTCGAAATAATGATCTAAACATATTGCCATATTGCCAGTAATCCACTCAGTGTCGCTTTATTCATGTCAGTAGAAAGGAACCACTTGCAGAATGAAGAAATGAAGAAATGAAGAAATCAGACTAATAACTATTATCCTCCCCTATTTGAACAAAATCATCATCAATTATCAAAAAATTTTTGTTTTCTATAAATTTGCAGATGAAATAAATCGAAAATAACTTGAAAAGTTGTATGAAATCTGGCATGCGAAATTCAGTAAATCATGAAATTACGATAGTTAAGCATATTTTTAAGAAAAATGGTGAAAATTTTATAAGAAATTCACGATTCGTAAAATTTTTTTAGAAAAATTTTGCCAACTTCATAAATTAAAACTTCGCTTTGGTTTCAAACATTTGTTCCATATTATTTATGTCTAAAAAAACTAGTTTTATTACGCTAATAATCAAAATTCAACCTTCGCTTTATGAATTTCTTAAGAAATAAAAATTTTTTATAAAATAGAATTCCAAAATTGCGCGAAATTTTCGATGATTTATAATTCAAAAAAACAAAATTGACTAGAAGACAAGGCTTTTTAAAAAACCAACTTAATGAATTCAAGGTTGTAATTTAAAATTGAAATTTAATTGAAAATTGCATGTTGCTTTAATTATGCAACACAGATTCACTAATATCTCGTAAAAGAAATGAATCTGGCAGTGAAACTGAAGATAAAATCTGAATGGCTTTTAAGGACCTACCTGAGCTTCTATCTCGCAAATAACTCTAGTAATTCTCTGCGAAAAAAGGTTCCATCCTAGTAGTTCGTGGGACTACCCAAGCCAATAGCATGCATTGTTAAAAAAAGAAACTTATAAAATTTAGACAATATTTTGAATTATTATTAAAATCAAAATTATAATTATTAAAATATAAATAAAATATAATTTTTAGCCAAAGATGCAGAAAATTTTACTAATTGTATTAATGATACATATTTGTTTTGGTCAACAGCAGTTCAGTCAAGATTGCAATCAAGCGCCAACGCCATCGCTAAGAGAAACTTGCTTAAATGTATGTGAGCTTGGAATTTTTTAAAAAACTATTCTTAAATCATTTCAAACAGGTTCTTTTCAAGTCTTTGACCCTCACCATTTTTTCATTTTTAAAAAATTAATTTTAAAAGCTCGAATCCGCCGCATTAATTGCATATCGGTGAGCTTAAGCTTATTGCATTCATATTCTTCCTTAAAACCCAATCCACAAAACTTTAACTGGATTTTTTTAAAAATTTGAAGCATCAGAAATTTGAAATTGCCTTTCGTCGAAAACATTTTATTTTTTAATTTGTCAAATTGCCGTTATTTTTAAGTATTGTAACCGATAAAATGAAACGAAATTTTTGAAGAAAACTTTTAAACTTTTATTTTTAGAATTTTAGTTTCTTATTATTTAGTTTCGTCCCACTTTTTTCTCACAAATCCATTTAATAAGTTGAAGAAAATTCATTGAAAAACTAAATTAGTTGCAACGTATGGCTGTAAATTCTCGACGACAATTTCAACAAGAAGCTGATAACAACGTTTGGCCTCCAGCGGTAGCAGAACATCTTCGACCTGCTCCTGTTGAACCAGGTGCCAGAGGACAAATTGCAAGTCATCCTTATGATTGTATGACATTAACTTGCCTTTGTCCATATTTCTTCGTTAGTTTTTTCTTAAATTTCTTCTAAAAACTAATTATTTAAAAATAAACATCATCTTTAGTATATAAGCGATAGTCATTGAGTTAAATTGTTCAACTTTCATTATTCAAAAAATTAGACTTTTTTTATTCATTTTTATTAAAATACCTATCAAGGAAATTTCCTTCAGAGAGAATTTATAAAGTAATATGAGATTTGATTGCTCGCTTTTATGCTTTATATGTTCTCATAGGGTACGATTGGCCCGCAGAACACGTGCATCATGCAGAACGGACAACCATTGACAATGGCATTTAGGAAAGAATACCGAATGCTAACTGATGATGAACGTAACCGCTGGCATAACGCGCTTATTGAAATCAAACGCAATGGAGAGTATGATCGAATGGGTTTTGAACATCAAACTGTAAATCTTAAGTATTCAGTTCGAACATATTTTAGATTAATATTTTTAATAATTTTAGATTTTAATATTTTCGAATCCATTGTCCAATGGCTGGCAAAATGTAATAAATTATCGACGAATTGTTGGTACTTTTACGGGAAATATAAACAATTTGAGTTTTCAGGTGGGAATCGGTAGCGGAGCACATTCCGGACCTGGTTTTTTACCTTGGCATCGCGAGTATTTGAAAAGGTAATCTCGCAATAAATTTTTTTTTTATATGAAACGTAGGTAAACGTCGAACAGAGCGAGTAGAGTCACTCATTTTAAATCAATTTAGGTTTGAAATAGCACTTCGATTGGTCGATCCATCGGTGTCAATACCATATTGGGATTCAGTTTTGGATAATTATTTGCCTGATCCGAGAGACTCGATTTTATTTAGTCCTTTATTTGCGGGTGAGACCGACTGGTGGGGAAATGTCGTCAATGGTCCATTTGCTTATTGGAGTACATTGGATGGACGTAGCGCTATTCTCAGGTTGCAACAGCAATTCATTTAATTAAAGTTCGCTCACGTTGAATGAAATTATTTATTTTAACGAGCAAAATAAATTGCTGAACTATGCTGAACTTTAACTGGAAATAATGAAAATAGAAAATTCTACTAAGGTAAAAAACATGGAACTTTTACGACAAATATATAACAAACATTAAACTGGAAATTCCATAATAAAATTATAAACATTGTTTTCGGTCGCCTTAAACAATCTTTTTGGTGGAAAATTTACATGAATTTGTGAATAATATTTAGTTTTCTCTAAAAAGTAAATACAGCAATGCAAAAGTTATTTATTCTAATAGTTGAGGGAAGTCAAAAATTCTCATTTTCATTTTTTCTCATTTTTCTCATTCTCATTTTTCTCATTTTTCTCATTTTCTCATTCTCATTTCTCAATTTTTCAAAATTCTCATTTTTTCTGCAGGAGGGTTCTAATAATTTCAAATTATTGGACTTCGTTACATTGGAATTTAAGCCAAAGATACTTAAAAATTTCATGAATTTGCAAATTTTTACTTTTAATTTTTCTAATGTATCATTTTATTATTTTTGCTTTCCTTTCTCTAATGAAATATCTGAAAAAACTGAAAGATTTCAGGGAACTTGCTCAGGAGGGGGCACTTTTTAGCGAGTTCGCTATTAGTCAAGTAATGGATCAGACCAATATTGAATATATTTTGGCTTACACAGCACCATTGATTGGCAACTTTTTTGCTTAATTTTCCCTAATAATTAAAAAAAAATTTAATAGAATTTAAAAATTTAAAAATTCACATAAATACATTTACCAACATTATTTTTTATTGAAATCTATAGAAATATAGTAAATTCGAATGAAAAAAATATATGTAAGTGTTCGATCGGAAACAAATTATTATTAATTAATTTATAACTTTCGTTAAAACTGAAATTAAATTAAATCAAAATTTGAAGAAAATTGGCGAGAAATAGGCGATGGTCAAAATACGAATGAAATAATTTATTAAATTTGTAATTAAGTATCGGCAATTCGACTGGAATTAATTAGTGCTACATAAAATAATGATAATAATTTTTGATCCTTAGGATTAGATGATTTAACAGCACCGTTGTTTCGAATTGTGCCCAGCACAGATCCGATCCTTTGCTTCCGGCAGAAAGAAGTCTCTCATATAAAGTTAAATCCCCAGGTATTGCTGGTGGCAGCATCTGTAGCCATATCTCAGTAAAAATAAAGAAGAAGGAAGGGGCTAATTTCATTCAGCGTATAATTGGTGTATTTATAAATACTTTCGTAAAAATACGATAAATACGATTTTCATCTTTTCACCGCAAAAATATTCACGATAAAGACAGATTCGAGGAAAGAAAGAAAATGAAATTTTTAAAGGATGTCCGTATCCGGTTAATTTTGGTGCTGTCGAGTATTCCCATTCGAATGTTCACCTTTGGGTTGGTGGACATATGAAACCGCCTGAATCCTCTTCAAATGACCCCCTTTTTTATACGTTACATTCGTTCGTTGATTTTATATGGGAATTATGGCGACAACTTAGGCAGCCAAATTGGTCACGTGAATCAGTAAGGGGTTTATTTATATTTATTTTTTTTTCATTTTATATTTTTCATATGTAAAAAAAGTAGAAAACTTGAGGGAAAAATATTATTACGATATTAAAAATTTAGGCATATCCACCCGATTTACCTCAGTGTGCTGATCCGCAGCATTTCAGTTATGCTAGTATGAGGCCTTATTACAATTTAATCAATCGAGATGGTAAATTTGAATTTCTGTGCGTGTGTTTTTTTTAAACGCAGATACTTAAATAATTAAAGAACTTGCTTTTCACCGGAGAAGACAAATTGCCAAGATAATCACCTGTGATGGCCAAATTGTGTTTTGAAATGCAATAAACTATATAGGTTTTAAGGACTTTCTAACATGTATACTGATCAAATGTATCGTTACGCACCTCGACCTGGTTGTTCAATCGAATTGCCCACATGTGGATCGCAGTATCTTTTCTGCGACACAAGAGGAACTCCACATTGTGTGTCAAAAATCAAAGTCAATGGTAACTGCTTTGGATTCGAAGGATTTGACGCATGTTTTAACGGAATTTGCGTTTTGGGACGATGTGTGCTTGGTCCAACTCCAACGGTGCGTTGATTTAAGAATTTACTGCCTATTTCATGAAAGTATCTCTTTTAAAATGAGTGCTTCAAATTGACTATAGACTAAACATAGATAAATTTTAGCCTTTTGTTCCAACGACTCCATCACCTCCTCCAGTTCGAACTCAAACTCCTCGAAGCATCCAAGTTTTTCGCAATTGCTTTAATCGCGACCCGTGTTGTGAACAGTGGGGCCGTGATGGAGAATGCAGTCGTAATTCGAATTATATGCGGCGATTTTGCCCTGCAGCATGCAATATTTGCCGTCCAACTTACAGTACTAATAATGGTAAGACTATTTAAATATGAAATATGCAATTTTTTATCACCAGTTCTTATCATTATAATCATTTCAATCGTTTGATTAAGAATGTGCGGATCGTCATATATCATGCAAGCAATGGGGATCGCAAGGTTTCTGTAGGGGTAATTCAGAACAATTCATGCAGGAAAATTGCCGAACAACATGTAATCTATGCAATAGGCCTAAAAATGCTCAATGTTTAAAATCTGTGCAGGTATAAAATATTAATTTTAATGAAAATATTCCTCTGCTTGGAATATTCTAATATCCTTCATCATAAATCCATAAACTTGTTCTATTTTATGCTATTTTGATTTGTCTTACAATTGAAATTCGTTGAATCAATAGTTCTGGCTTCGAATGTTATTTTTTAAAAAAGGTGGCGAATGAAAATAAATCTCGAAAATTGAAGTTAAATAATCGAAATAATTGAATATTTAGCGATAATAATATTATTAATTGAATTTCCTTACAGATTTAACCAATTAAATCCGTTTTAATTTCGAATATCAAGTGATTCGTAACGAAAGAAATGTTCCTGGTTCGGTGTTTGCGTTTAGTCTAATTTTTCGTTGATAGTTTCTTCCATTTGTATACGAATTTCATTTTAATTTTTTGTTTTATTTTTGTTTTTAAAATTATTAAAATATTATGTAAATATGTAACTAAATAAATACAAATAAATAATTACAAATGTTAAGTATTATGTTGATTATAAACGCATATTCTTTTGCAGCTAAGTGCGTGCATGCTAGAATAATTTATATCGGTAAAAATATTTGGCCTGGATTAGACTTTTATGAAATTCTTATTTCTATTCCTATTCATATTCCTATTCATTTCATGTGTAATTTGCACTCTCAGGCTTAATTGACTTCATTCTCCATGAGGGAGTTTCTCTGGAGATTCACTTACAGATACACAAGCGAGTCCACAATGCCATTCGGATTTCATTCTTGACGACGAAGTTTGTTTTTTATCGAATGGATGGAGGGAGAGCCTATATGATATTTGAGGTCGAAATCTGGTCCACCTTATTATAACTGCTTTTCTTGTTGTTCATTTTTGTTCGCGTTTATGTTTTATTTAATTTTATTAATTATAGTTATGACTGTAATAATTTACTTTTATTAATTGTATACCAATTGCCAATTGTTCTTCAAATTGAAATTGTAGACTGAAGCTTGGCTGGCAAATTTTGTGCATTTTGGGTATATCCTCAAGCTTAAAAGATTGTTCTGATACATTTATATATTTCGTAATGTTATATCGGATTTTTTGGTCTTAATGAGTTGTAGAGTTGAAATAAATTAAAAGAGCTTGCAAATCTCCTCAGTTCTCATTTACGAAGAGAAAACGAAAAGCTAATCGAGAAGCAATATTATTTAGGCAAAAATAGTAATGGTGTATTTTCTCTCGCAAAATTTGATTTAAGCAGAACTTCTTGAACTTCAATCGCTTTCCACTGAATAGCTCTCATTTTGATAAACAATGAAGATAGCGGAAACACAAATGCCGATGGAAGAAATTTCATGGCGATACAGATTTCATCCAGATTCGTGTTTTATATATATTTGGAAAGATATATTTGGAAAGTTTTTTTACAACATTCTAACACTTTCTTAACTTTTATTATTAATTCTAATTCTAATTCTATTTTTATTAATTCTTTTATTATTTATATGCGCAGAATGAAGCAAAAACTATTATATAAAGCAAAACTATTATTTAAAAAATCCGAATATTGCTAGCTATCCACATTGCCAGGTGACCTCGAAGAAAGTTTCTAACGGCCAGCGGAGCCAGCCTAACCAGTGAGTAGTAACGGCTTGCTTAAATTCGTGTGGTCGATAATTTAGCTTTCCAGTGGTTTTTCAAATTGTAAAGCTTATTTTTTATATTCAAATTGTTTTCTTGGTTGCCTTCCATATTTAGCAAAAAATATATTTATATCAGCGTGAAATTTCTTCTAACAGTATTCTGGCATTATTTATGTATTCGCTAGCTCCAACGTTTATCAGAACGAGGATAAGGACAAATTTCTTTCGGAAAATTACAATTTTTTTTGTTTGGAAGAAGAAACTGAAATTACATCAGCCATATGTACTACACAAATTTTACTGGATATAACAGTGAACTTTTTCTTCAAATAAAGCGCAGTATTTTTATTAAATTTAAATTTTCGTTTTTGTTATCTGGAAATAGCGAATTTTTTCATTTTCGTCCCGAAATGTTTCACCTTTTTCATATGGTTATAAATGCAGAAAATTAATAGCATTGGAAAAGTTTCTGTACAGATTTATTGAATCTTACGCAGTGTCCATTGATTGCAAGGATTAGAAATAGTGAACCACTCTGAAGAATTCTCCAAGTTTATCAGTAATTGGTTCATTTTTGCCAAGATAGAAATTAAACCTATGACAATCTGGCCTCACCTCATGGATCAGAAGTACTTTCCACTTGAGCACTACGCATCCAATAACGAATTTTTGCCGTACTTTTAGAAAAAGCGATAAAGTGCTATTTTTAAATTTAAACGTTTAATTGAGAGCAATTTTTTTAACACCGATTTTTGATCACGGAATTTTTTCTTTTCAGTTATAATTGAGATTTTTATTAAATACGAAAGAAAAACAGAAAATGTTACACAACACATAAAAATTTTTCCATCAGTGGCGAGGGATATGAAAATTCATTTTCACTTTTTACATAATAATTACTATTCTTTTGAAATAATTATTCCTAAATGTGAAAGCTGCAATTATAGGAATTAGCGTTCAATTAACGTTTTGGCGTTTAAACTAAAATGAAAATTAAAAAAGGTCATTAAAACTCATTTTCATTCCTTATTTGCAGTTATTCTAGAAATGTGTAAAACTTATAAAATGTTCGATAATAAAACGGGTGGATTCGAGCGCGATGAGTTAATCTTCACACATATTTCGACTTACTTTGGTGCAATTTCTACTGCCATTAATATAATCTTATTAATCATTTTTATTTATCTTCAAGGATATCGTAAATTTCCAGTAAGAAATTCTTCTAAATAACTAGTTTTGATCAGAAAATTCTGATTCTGACATTTTCTTTATTTATGAATGTTAAAAAGATATTAGTAAAGCAGAAATAAAGGATCGTAAAAAATAAAGTATTCTATTATATAAATCATTATATATATATATATATATATTTAAATTAGCGCTTAAATCAGATTAAAAAATTCCTATTTAGGAATATTTTTTCTTAGCGATTGGGGATTTTGACAACTTTAGGAACAACTTTTCGAAGTATTCATAGAATCAATATGGCATACATGATATGGGAAAGCAAAGTAGTATGTAAAGAGGTTTCTTTTTCGTTTTTTCTTCTTCTCACCCTTACTGGTTAGGCTGGTTCTATTGGCTACGAAGAACGTTTCCAAGCTGCGCGACCCATCGTCGGCAGTAAATCCAGAGAATAGAATAAAAATGGGAACAGTTCAAAAAGAGTTTTTCTTTCGCAAAGCGTGGTGATGGTTCAGTGGCAAAATAATTACCACCAGAAGTTGAGGCTTTGATTCGAACTCTCCGAAGCGCCACTCTTTTTCCAACGGACGGCAATATTGCATAATGGAGAAAAACAAAGGAGAGTAAAATGATTCAGTGAGCTATTTTAATTTTGAATTTTGATGCTGAAGTTCTACTCCAGGAATAAACCTTTCCAAAAATCCAGGTAGCACTGATGAGTCACCTGTATTTCTATCGACAAGGGACACCTTAGCACTTGTTTAATGCAACAAGCCAGAGGAGCGTCTCTAACCAGTAATGGTGGCTATTATTATTATTATAGTTGTCATCGTACAGTTTAGCAGGGGTAATTATGCTAATTAATTATACCACAAAAACATCGAAGATACTTTGAGTCGCAAAAGCCAGTTGACTTTTATATTCATTCGAAACTATTACTCTTATTCAGACTGCCTTGTCTTGTTCAAAAAGTGTCAGCTTATGGTTACGATTGATCGGCTCACTACTTTCTGCGTCGATTCTTGTAGCCATTGGCTTTAACAGATTTTCAAGTGTTCAATGGCCAGTTTGGTATAAAACATATATTGCAAAAAAGTAACATTTCATTCTGACTTATTTTTAAACCATTAAACATATAAACCATTGAATCTATAGAATATTTTATGCTTTTAACAATTTTATTTAGTGTTTCACTTCACTTCTATTCTCCTTTTTAAAGAAACACCTGGTTGATTCCACTAACTCAACTGCTGTTGTCAAACTGACTTCCCGAGTCTTCTTGGGCCCATGGCGACTCTCGGGCCTTACGTGCTAGTCTAATTCGAATCAAACATTCTTCTTTGTTTGAATCATTTTTAATGATTATTTGCGCTTCGTTATAATAATCACTCAAAACTCTTAGAAGTTTAGTAAATATTTCAAGTTTTTAAAAGTCATTGCAATGGATTTCTATTGCGTTATATAGAAAGAGACGACCATTGCACTCGCTGCTCGGGATAAGACCATTTCGTGGACTTATTCGAAGATAGAGGGAACGTAGGTGCCACAGGCGTCCCGATTCAATTTTAAAGGATGTATCGATGCTTGAATTCATTCGACACCATCCTCGCTTGAGATATCTTGTTTATTTCTTTACTGCTTAAAAATAGCTCGAGAAAAATGGCATAAAACTTCAGAAGTATAAAAATTTGTATACTCGTTTCCACATTTGTCGTAATCAATCTCGCCACAGCACTGCTCATTTCGCTATCAATCGACGGGCCTGAAGTTAAGTTCTATTGCGGTAGAAAGGCAGCATTTTCAAGTATCTATGGATTCTATATCTACTGCTTTGAGGTATTTTTTTAAGATTTCGTTGATGCATACAACGTTAACCAATCAAGTTAGAAATCTTGAAAAAAAAATTTGACAAATCTATAGAAATTTTTCCAATTCTATCAATTTTCTTGCATTTATAAATGAAAAAAGGTGAAACATTTTGAGAAAAGTGGAAAAATTCGCTATTTTTATAATAATTTTAGAATTTTAAATTTAATAAATTAGAAAGTTCGAAAATAAAATTCGTCTAAAATTATCCAATAACACGCAATATAATAATTATCCAATAACACTATAATAATTATCCAATAATTCAAATAATTTTTTTCTCTATTAAATTTAAAATTTAATTTTCTCTATTTTTATAACTTTTTTTTTAAAGAAATGATTTGTAATATTCAAATTTAAGCATTAAAAAATTTTTTCTACACGAAAATTTTGCACCGATAATTGGGCTTTTTTAGATAATTGGATATATAATAGCATTAATTTTAAATATTTCTGCTTATCTGAAATTATCACGAATAAAAAATAACAGGTTTGAATGGTTTTTTTTTTAGAAAAATTTGTTTAATTTGAAAAATTTGTGAATTTAAAATAATTTGTTCTCATATCCAGTAATTATATCCTTTAATTTAACTATGTTTGATTTTTTAATTCTTAGTATTTAAAAATTTTTAATGAAATTTTTAAATAAATTTTTAATAATTTTTATATAATAATAATAATTTTTTAAATAAGAAAGTTTTAAATAAGTTTTAAATTAAATAAGTCTTCAAATAATTTAAATTTTTTAAATAAGTATATAAAAATATATATTAATGAAACTTAGGAAACTTAGAAAACGCCACAAACTCTAGCACTTAAGTCAAAGGCAGCCAAAGGAAGAAGGAATTTGATTGAAGATTAAGATCTATTCGTTAAACCTTAAATATAGCCAAGCGAGAGACGGAATTCCAACTCGGGAAGTGTGTCTGGTGAAATTTCCGCAGAACCATTGCTAATTAGCACCAGCAACGAGTTGGAATCTATTTGATTGCAGAACGCAAATAACTTATTATAAGACTGCCAATCACTCAAACTTTTAAGACACGAATAAAACTTCATGTGACTGCATCTATTTTCGCTCGAATATCACCTATATCACCATAGTTCCTCGTCCCTATGGTAGCTTTGGCATTCTTTCTCTGTTCCTCACAAGGATTGGCGCATATCTCCATAATTGTTAAGGGAGATGAAAACCGAAAGGAAGGATGAAGAAGGATGGTAATGACCAATTAAGGCCTAGGGTTAAGGGATAGGTCAAGGGATATTCTGAATGCATAAGTCGCCCAGAATATAGGAATATAAGCTTCACCACTATTTCAGCCAGCCAAACTAATATGAGCAGTAATGGTGCCAACTTGAAAGAAGCATTAAAATCTGATTTCAACCTAAATGCATGAATGCCACAAACGATTTCTCATAATTTTTTAAATTTTGAAAAGAACAAAAAAATAATGATTTGGAATTTTCATGGATTATGATTAATTAATTATAGACACAATTATCGAAAATTTTGCAGTAACGTTCAAAATATGATGCGGAAAGCACGAATCTCGCTTACCCTATCATTCTTTTCGTGTATATTAGTCGCTATACCAAATGTCAACAGTATTATCGTATCAACGTATCGCCTAAAAGTATTGCTCTTCTCGCTAATTTCTCAAAATATTACCCTCATTCTCAGTTATAACACTAGTAAATTAAGCCATATATGACTTAAACACTTATGGTTTATACGTTTCACGAACTATGAATTCTAAATTATATAAATGCAGAGGCATTTAAATGATACTTGAAAAAGTGAAATTTTTTGGATTGGTCGCATAGACCACAAATCCAAAGCCTTTCGAATCTAAAAATGAAACATTTTTGGCCAAAAAATTTAAATTTAAGAATAGAAAAATCACGCTTTCACACCTTTCTATGACTACAATGACCTGGAAAGCCGACGGCTTTTATCTTTTGTCCTCCAAGTATCTATTTCGTTCTCTTCAGCGAAATATCACACCTCAGCAATGAATAGCTCCACACAGAAATAAGTCAACAGAAAAAGATTATTACAACTTATCATTGATAATTAATCAGTAAAAAATTTCAGCAGAAAGCATTTGTGATAGAAGCCGTCTTATGGTCGTCAACATTAAACGCATCAATGAATATTTTTGTATATTTAGGATCGAAAGGAGAAATTTATTATGGATTACGAAATAAAATTTTCCCTCAAAAGAAAGAAGTGGTTTTTCCTATCAAAACCGTCCATTAAAGATTAATGGCGCTGGGTAGACAGTCAATCGAGAGTTAATTATCCTACCACAATACTTTTTTTATTCTGTAGCACATTTACTTCATCTCTCCATAAAAATATGGTTAAAATGTGGCTAGTCATTGATCAGTGCAACTATACAAAGATAACAGCAAACTGCATACTATGTATGGTTTCAATTTGCTAATTTCCACAGGAATTTTAAAAATTAATTTTAATCAATTTATTCTCTTTCTATATGGCATTCTTTAGCATTTAAAAAAACAATAAAAATTTACAAAAAATTGGGAAATATAATTCAGCCTCAAATATAATTCAGCCTTGCTAATATAAGCAATATCAGCAAAATCAAAATGAAGATAGAAGACAGTCCAATTTTTGGATTCATAAAAGTATACCTAGCAAAACTATCGTTTAATATTTATAATACATTACAAAATTTGAAAGACATTCTCGCAAGAATCAAGTCCTTGTTTGCATCACTTTCACTATCATTCCTCATTCTATTAATCTGATTATGAAACCAAGGTCCATATTGAACATAAAAATTTTTTAATCGTTCATAACTACTAATTGCTTTATAATTGTCATATTTTTGATCGAATATAACTCGAATGCGATGCAAAAAAGTGATCATAATATCCTAAAATACGACGTTTCTTTTATTTTTTAATAAAAAATTTAAATTCAAAATTTTTTTTAAGAAGCAATTTATTCTTCTAGTTTTCTAAAGAAAAACATTTCTGCTTTTTCATCTTCGAGGAATTTTTATAAAAAAATAAACCTTAATTATATTTCCATCTTTGATTATACTTTTTCGAATGAACTGGCTCATTAATGGATGTATCGTATAATCACCCTCTTTTACTTTACCTTGGCTATTGGTGCACTGATCAATGAAACTACGCATAGCCAGAGATTCAAGAATTTTACTGGTTTCGTAATAAGCGTCTTGATCACCGCCAACATCAAATGGCACTACTAATGAAATGACCTGCAATGATCCGTATTCATGAGAAACCTCTTACCAAAATATTTCTTCTTCTCCTAGCTCTCACCATTGCTGGTTAGGTTAGCTCCGTTGGATATAAGAGTATACCAAATTTGCAGAATTTGAATAAAGTAAAAATAATTATTATTATTTCCTCCAGCGAAACATGAAACTTAAAATTATGTGCGAAACTCATTTGAACTTGAAGAAAATTTCTTATAAATCAATCATTCGAATGGTTTTTATTTTTAAATAGATATATTTTTGGGGATAAAAAAGATGAATTTTAATTAAAATAATTCAAAACAAGTTTGCAGGACAAGAAATAACAAACCTCAAGCGGTATAACTGCGTTAACAGGAAATATACTTAAAGATAATAAAAGCTCCTTTTGATTGGTGTTAAGCTGAAAACTCAGATACGCTTTGTTGTTCAAAAAATAATGCAATTTAAATAAAATAAGTAAAATATAAATAAAATAAAAAATATTATTAAAAAAGTACTATAAAATAAAATAATAAAAATATAAAGAATCTTTTTTATTTAATTTCTTTTAATTTCTTTAATTTTTTAATTTCTTTTAATTTCTTTTACGTATCAAAAAACAATGCCAATCAAATATAACCAAATTATATGATTTTTGAAAGGCATCTTCCAAATTTGAACACCAGTAAGGAGTTATACAATCAAAGTATTTCAGAGGTTTTTGTTCCATTGCATTACACAACCATCGTAACCTAAAAAAAAGTTTCAAAACATCCAATTTTTTATACAAATAAAAATAAAAGTAAATTTTCACGCATACCCTAAGTTTTTTACCTCATTTTTGATTAAAATGTTTAATTGGATTTTTCTTAAGATAAAATAAAATAAAATTAAAAATAAAATTATAAAAGAAAATAATGTTATATTGAATATAATTCAAAAAGACAGAAAAAATCCAAAGCCTCTTATTTGGTTGAATCAATATGGTACCGTTCAACATCGCCCTTACATGACTTCACCATTATATTGAAAATAGCTGGATGACCACAAGTGACGTCGAATAAATGGTCTAAAAGACTCGAAGTAATACCATCAAATTTATTTAGAGACACGAAAAACTGCATTTCCTCAACAGAGAAACCATGAAGTTTCATAGAATACAAGGTATTCTGTTGACGAACTGCTTGAAATATTTCCAGATTTGTAGTTGTTGCAATAATTCGAGCCTGAATTTATTTGATATCTTCAATGAGATAAATCGCTAAGACTTTCACAAAAGAGATAAATAAAACATCCTAAACAATTTTTCATAAATATTACTTTTACTGAACATTTACTGAACATCACCTTAAATTCATCGAACCAACGAACACTTTCCTCAAGAAGTACATCATCGAGCAAAATAAGCGAATTAGGACGGTAATTTAAAGCATTTCGAACCTTTAAATTTTAGAATCTATAATTTTTAATAAACATTTCACTGAAAAGGAAATTAGGATGAACCAACACCTATCTCACTGGGAGAGAGGGAAATACCAGTATTGAATTTTCACAACAGTTGAGAATTTACCTACTCAAATCCCTTTAAGATATTCCCGTTGATATTTCTTTCGATTTCTAATTCTACCTGTACAATCCATGGTATATTAAAATTTTCTTCCAATTCGAGTTATTTTATTTTTTTTGATATCTTTAATGAGATAAATGAGTTTGAGAATTCTATTTTTTTTTCCACAAATGAAACATAAATAAGTAAATAAGTAAATATAAATAAACTGTTAAAACAACTGTTAAAACCAATTAAAATTGAAAACAAAAATAAAATCTCACGAGTTGCTGTAGATTCAAATTTGATTCGCGACCATTTAAAATTAGGGAATCATTTGAAAGAAGTATAACAACATCAGAAAAATATTTCTGAAGCTGTTCGGAATTCGTTCGGCCATCATGAATCCAAATGACTTCAGTATAAAATCTAAATAGACCATTGATTGATAAATGTTTGAAATATGTCTTCCAGATTAACCGAAACTAAACGAATAAGTGCTGATAATTGGTGATATTTTCAACGAATTCTAATTGAAGAATGAAAGAAATTTAATAATTTATTGAATTCAAACATAACACATTAATTTTTCAAATTATACAAATAATTAATCAAAATAAAAAACTTACTGACATAGTTGGTGTGAGTAGGACCGCAAAGTATCGATCACAAGGCAAGTTTTACCACAACCAGCCATACCATGTATAACGATCCAAAAGGAAGGTGTTCCTAAAACTACAAAATTATATGAAAGCGAGATTTCAAGGAAATAAACAAAATCCTTGATGTTGGCTTACAGCTTATGAACTCGAGTCTCATAATTATCTCATAATGTCATAATTAAGCCAATTCTTAGACCTCTTCCCAATTTAATTTTGTCTTAATTTTATTTATCTTAGTTTAATTTAGTTAATTTTGTCTAAGTTCGGATTCCATAGAAAATGAAAAAAAATATATAACCACAAATTCATTATATTTAAACAACGATTTAAAAAAGTTAAATAAGTGCAAACAACATTTCTTACAACATTTCTAAAGAGAATGAGAGCGAGGAATTTCCCTGTAACAACTTTTCAATTTTACAGTTTATAACTGCCTATTCACTATTTAAATAGAGAAAAAGGCGTATTAATATAAATAAACAACAACTGCTTGTCAGAAATATTATTTTTAGAGTAATATTTAAGTGATAAAGGAATAATCAAATAGTTAATTAAAATGAAATAACAACAAACCTTTTTCTGATTGAATAATAAGAATATCTCGCAATTTAGTCATTTGCTTTTCTCGTACAACGCTACTGCTAATACTATAAGGAAGATTGGAATTTTTTAGGAAATGATAAGAGCTTTTTGATAAAACTTGCTTATCATTAAAGGAAACTTCTTTTTTCAATTCATTGGCTAAATGAGGTTGTCCATAATGTTCAAAAAATGATATTAAATCGGATAAACTTTCGGCTGATACGCGATACTGTCGTATGAATTCGAGAACTCGATTCATTCTTCTCGGCTACAAAATCCCTTTCTTCTTCAAATATTATTTTAAACCTTTTCAAATATTCACGGTCAAATATTTCTAATATTCTATAAGTAATTTTGAATAATAGAGGGAATTAAATCAATAAAATATTCGTCAACTATATATTTTCTTATTTATTACTTACAATTTCTTCGATGAATATTATAAATTAATAATGCATAGAACTAAAAATTAATTTAATATCATCTTTAAAATTACTAAAATATTCTTAAAATTATTAAAATTACAGATTTCTGATAAAATTCAACAGAATAAAGAAACGAAATAACCAAATTGAGAATAATTTCTTGCTGATTTTCATTGAAAATAAATTTCGACGATATGAATGGGATTGCATCTTTTGGCTCGAAATCTTTTAATAATGCATCGATTGCAAATGTTAAAATACGATTATCAAAATCGTTTAACATTCCTAGAAATGATAAATTCCTTTAAATGAAAAATCTCAAAATAAATTTTAACTTTATATTTCATTTCAATAAAACATGCCGAAACGTTGTACGATATCATATTTCACCATTTCTGGTGAAACTCTCCTCCGGCTTATTGGTGCAGATAATTTTGCCAGGGGATTGACGATATAAGTCCAAGTGAATCGCCAATTACATTGGAAACTTTGAAGGACAGGCTTACCGAGCGTAGAGCCTCAGCATCGGCTCCAAACCCAGAAACAACCCACTGTGTCGTTCTTCCACCTCTTACTTTCGCTGTTCGGCGACACCACCCCTCTATCTGCTCGAGCCATTCTTGATTCTCTGGCAATGTTTCGCCAATAAGTGCGCCAAGTATTATTATAAAATTCGTATATAACAATCATAAATCTAGAAAAACAGACAAACAAAACGAGAAAGCATATGTGATGCTTACACTTGGGTCAGCCATGCTCCAAGCTGTTTTCTCAACCAACCTGTTAATTACATAAATGTTTTATTTTCATCCATTTTCTATGCATTAATTTCTTAACCTCTTCATTCCCTCAGTTTTTAATCCTTTTGACCGTTTCTGGTCCCCCCACCTAACCTTGGCTGACCCCCCACCTAACCTTTCCACCTTTCCATAAGTACCAAACCATCCATCCATGAAAATCAAAATGCCGCTTTTTTAATTAAAAAACTGCAAAAAAATCGGTTTCGCGCCACAATTTTTAATATTCAAAAGATGCGACTGCGAAATAGAGTACTATTCAACGTACTCCTTCATTTAAGATTGGTGAAATGTAAGGTTTTGAGTTTACCGCAGAGAGCAGGGCAATTTTTGGCTTACAAATGGTTTTAATGGGAGTTTTTGGCTTGGGCTTTGCTCGATAAGTTTCGGTCGAGGCCAAGCCTTGGAGTCTAAATCTGTTCAAACGTGTGTGGTTCTTTTTCGTGGTTGCCTCGACTTGTCCGCTTTTATTGAATCACCGACCCTCCCCAATAGTTAAAAATACTGTTTAGCGTTCAAGGTGACATACATCGAACGTTAGATTTCTCTCACATTTTGAGGTCGGGTTTGCGTGTTAGCTTTTCGTCACATTTCCTTTCATTTTACATCGAAATTTCTTAAGGGCCCTCACCATTACTGCTTAGACTCGCTCCGCTGGCTTGTCGCACTGGGCAGATATGCCAGCGAGTTCGTTGGCGATAGAAGCACAGTCGCCAGCATCATCCGGATTCACAGGTGCTGCGGCGCGTAGAAGCTCAGCATCGGTGTTCCGGTGCTCCGAATTGAGCAACAACCCATTGAGCCATTCTGTGCCCCATCATCGATATTAGTAAACTCGTTTCGTTTCATTTATGTTAATGCAAAGCGCTTATGGCATTTGTCGCTTTGCTGGCTTGTTTTCAGATACCATTGTTTTACCGAATTTTATATTAAATAAGATGAATCTTTCAAACTGTTTAAATGTTTATATTTATAACTCTCGTATTGTCAACCGGGGAAATATAACAATAATTATAACAATAATTATGAACTGAATTTATTGGTTGGAGATTTGGAAGCGTCGTCTTCATTTTTTAGTTATCTCCTTATTCTGTCGGTCGGTCGTTTATTGCATTCGGTTATATTTTGCGCAGAAATGTCGAAATGTTTTAGAATGTCGAGAGGAATAGGTGCAATAAATTCGGCCGGCGATTATTTTTGGATCGAACGAAATGCTGATGTTGTTGGTCGAGGTGGATTTGGCCAAGTAACTATTGTTTTTATGTTGTGCAATAAACGGTTTTCTTTTTCTAGATTTCTTTTCGAAATTCGTCGCATTGAATTTGTTAATTTAAGTCGAGAGATCAAGTTAAACTCAAAATTTTAGGTCAGTAAGCCTTGCCAGCATGGATTAATAATTTTGAAGTGATAACGAAGTTGGAAATAAATGAAAATTCACGCAGCGAAAGGTCATTGAATTGAATTATTTATTTAAGGTATATAAAGGTCGTAATCGGAATACTGGCGCATTTGTTGCTGTGAAAACATGTGTTTTTAATGATGATTTCGCTCATAATCATGAAATTAAATTATTGCGACAATTTGATTCGCCTTATATTATTAAATATATTGATACACAAGTAGTAAGTTATTGTTTTTTTTTTCAACGGTGATGTCCCAGTGGTACTGGAGGATTCTTTTTTCTCGTATTAAAGCTCTATTATCCTACTAGTCAGTGGAACTAATAAGAAATAGTGAGTACTAACAACAAGGTGACAACAATAGATAATATGATCCAGTCTACGTGTCCACGTGGTACAACATACTTTTTTTCTACCAGTTTTCATTTAGAATAGAGGTTCCCCATTTTTTCTTGCATCGGCTCCGTAAAAAAATTATTTTTCTCATCAGTCTCTCCAAAAAAATTATTCCCTATCAATCATCTTAAAGATCGAATTTTTATATTATTATCAGAGGTTTTCTATACTATGTGAATGGATTTCTAAAAATAAAATTTTTTAGCTAAATGAACTTTTTGAAATATATTCGCTGAAAATTTATGGGATTTTCATTGAAGAAAAATTTTGTTTACAAAGAAAATTTTGGAAAATTTTATTTGGTGCAATCATTATTATAGAAACATTTTTTTCAGCAAAGTTGCAAAAACATAGAAAACAGAAAACACAAGTTATAATGACAAATTAAAATATTAATTTTCTCATAAATATAAATTTATGTGGAATTTTAAAAAAGTACAAGTATTTGACTTGTCCATCATTGCCTTCACTCGACTCCCAAAGAATTCAAATCCATTGGAAATCTCACTGGAAATTTTTCATTTAGATTTTCATTGTTCTTGAGATGATTTTTAGCGATTGTTCTCGTGTTAATTCTTTTTTATCTTATTATTAGCTTGTAAATTTGAAGGTTTATAAATATGAAAATATTTCCAAATGTTATTTTTTATTTTTTAAGGTAAATGATGGAAGCGGCCGTCTCGCAATTATTATGGAATTAGCAAATACCAATTTGCGTGATGAGCTTAATAAAATAGAAAATTATTTCGGTATACCATATAGAATGTTAATTCTTCTTATTGCTCATTTAGGTTTGTTCATTGATTCTTTTGCTTTTATGCTTTAAAATTTGATTTCTTAGCATAATAAAATTCAGAATTAAATCGATTTATTCATCTTCTACTGAATTAATGAGAAAATCGGGAATTAATGGGAATTTCCGATAAAATTTTAAGCCATTGATTTTTAACTTTCAGACGAAAATTGTTGTGGAAATATTAATATTCAGGTATAGGTTCTGGTACCAAATATTTTGGTAATAGTTAAGGCTTTTACGCTTTTTTTGTCGATGGGTACTCTTTTTCGTAATTTAATCAAATGATTTTTCCCCAGTTTGACAAAGTTTCATTTAATTTTGCGAAATATTTCATTTAGTTTTAACAACGCATCATTTAATTTTAAAAAATGGCGGATACGAAGAAGTTTGTAGTAACGTCGAAACATCATGGTCTTGCATTTCTTGTTGAACCATCCATTCAAGATTCTCAAAAATGGTTAGATATAACTCTATTTCAAACGCTGAATGCTTAAGAATATTAAGTGAAGCATTGTCAAATTGGGAAAGGAAATAGTATATTCAGATTGTTAACTTTTTTTTGCTAAAGTTAAGTTTTATTTGTTTCAGAACGTGGTTTGTCTTATTTAAATGAGCGATTGATTGCCCATCGTGATGTAAAGCCTGCTAATATTCTCATTTGTTATTCGAATAATAGGTAAAATTTTAAACTAATATTTTTTGTTTTACTTGTTGATATTATATACTTTTTTTATGTTTTTTGTCATATTTATGGCTTCCCAATTTTTTAAAACTTTTATAAACTGGCTTTATTTTTAGTCCAGTTTTTAAATTATGTGATTTTGGTGGATCACGTATTATTGAAAGCCAAAGCCAACCATTGAATTCCATTTGTGGCACTCCTGGATATTTGGTGCGTTTCAGAAAGGATTCTATTTTATTTGTTGAATCTTTATTGCATATAAAGGAAAGATATTATAGAATGAATATTTAACTGCTAACCTCGCACTAAAATCAAAGGCCCTTGTTTATACAAAAGATGAATGTGATCTATGGGCACTTGGTTGTACAATTTTTGAATGTGCCACTGGAATATTGCCGTTTCTTCCAGCTAAAGGTTAATATTCAACAAATAAAATGGAATGGATTTAAAATTTTTTTCTAATAAAAGTTTGTGTAAACTATTACCGAAAATATAAAACTGGCGTCGATTAAAATTTGATTTTTTAGATTTATAATGGAACTAGAAATTTATTTAATGTAATATTTATTATATTTGTAGGTCCTATGGATACAGCTACCATGCATAAAATGATGACCAATAGACCAGCAGATGCAATTAGTGGATTTACAACAGAAGATGGTACTATAATTTGGCAAAAAGAATTGCCATTAGATCGATGTACATATCCTAAGTATATTTTTCTTTTTGAAAAGCATATTAACACATTCGTAAACACTTTTCGCTGATTCTGATTCTTCTTCTGTTCCTTCTTCCTTTCCTTTTTTCTAGATTAAATTATTGCCATTAACTGAAAATGAATTTTTAAAAGTGTGGTGATGGATTTGTTTCAATTTGGTGATGGATTTGTTTTAAATAGCAAAAGAATATTAAAGGAATTTTCAAAGAATTCTGTGTGAATTTATACGAAAACTTTTTGATCGGCGAGCCTCAACCAAACTTTCTTTCGCTATGTTCTCAGCAATGGCTGTTGAATTGACTACTTTGAGAATTATCAACCTTATAAATGTAAATACGCTATCTGTTGAAGAGTTTTTCGATGTCTCTTCTGCCAAATATTTTGAGAGGTTTTTTGATTATTTAAAATTTAATGTTTTTTATCTGAAGAAAACTTTAAGCTTCCAGGAAATCAAAAATTTGATAAGATCTGAATAGGAAAGTTGACTAATAATAAAAAAAACAAAAATTTTAGAATGAACTAATTTCTGATATTTTGTACCATCGCTGATTTGGCCCGTTCTACCGTCGATTGGGGTAAGATGTTCCGATGAAAGTAACTGAAGCCACTTTTTCCATCTAAGATTTTTGTACCATTTCTCTGCGACTATTGCGAATCTACGGCACTACCGTCAGCTGTTATCAGTATGCTGGCACATTTGCACTCTGTCGGACAACTGGGTTTCATATGAGACTTAGCTTCCCTTCTTCCGAGTTTTGTATCCGATTTAGCTGTTTTCTAGAAGCAATATTCTTCAGTATTCTTGAGCAGTTCCAGAGTTTCTAAAGTTCTTCAATAACTCAGCTTTTAAATGTGTTGAATGTTTTTGAATCTGTAAATCTAAAACTTGAGGTAGTCAAAAAAATTGAGAATAAATGAACCGATTATGAATAAATCAGATTTTATTTGATAATGTATTCAGCTATATCAAATTTCAGGTTCAATTTAGATCAATATTTGCGGCAAATTTCTGGTTCTAATTCCACATCATGTTTGTTATTTCTTCCATTAGGAAGTACCTCAGTTTTACATCGTACGATGCATTGTGTTGGTCGATCTAATGATATTGTTTCAATTGGATATTGGACAGATAATGCTACTCTTAAAGTCGATATTCATCCTTCTAATCATCTGAGTATTTTTTTTTCTAATCATCATCTGAGTATTTGAGTATTTTATTCGAATATAAAATCTTTCTCATTTTTTTCAATTTATAACCTAAACTTTAATCTAAAAACTCAAAGATGATGACGAAAGATGAATAAATCCTGATTTTTTTATAATAATTTAATAATAGCAATATCTTAATAATATCTTAATAGTTTTCAACTACTCAATAGTTTCCTTTTTTTTAGATGTATCTGCTATAACTCTTGAAAATTTGCTTCATTCCAATCGAGAATTGAAACACGCTGCGGCAAATGTATTGTGTTTAGAAAAAAAAATCATAGAATTTGGAGAATTTATTCAGGAAGTCATTCTATTTTGCCGTAAATTCTGGATCACTCTATCGAAAACGCTTGAATGCATTGTAAAAGATTTAAACAAAGCTAAATTGTTGCTCAAAGCTATTGCCCTACAATCTTCAGTTTTGGGTTTCTGTCAGCGATCGAATATGGAACGTCAAGCTGTCATAAACAATGCGAAGCAAGTAGAAAATGAACTCCTTATAATAGAAGGTAATTTTTCAATTTTTGGAATAAATTTAAACTATTTATCTATTTTTTTATGAAAATAAATTGAGGATTCTCAATGAAGATTATCTTATTATTCTTTTATTTGTATATAATATTCAGAGAAACTTCGAGAAATCCGAGAAATGATGGCTCAACTTCGATCGGATATTGGGAATTTAGATACAATTGAGATCTCATTACCTTCATTTCGCAAAGATTTCATTGAAAATATTCTTGTAAGTGGATTCGTTCACATTTGTTTTAAAATAAATTTGGTTATTCTTTATGGTATTTATATTTTTTTCCGAGCTATGTTAACAACGACGAAGCTAATTAATCTTAATCTTTTATTATAAATTAATTTTCACTACTTTTATTGGTGTCTTTTTTTTTATAAATTCGATGAATTGAAATGTTTTCATATTTTTTTCGATATTGTCATTTTAGAGAAATAAGATCATCCGAAGTAGTTCAACTATCCTAAATTCTGTGGAAAATTTGTTGGAAAATGCAGATTGGTGAGAATTTTTTATTATTTATTTTTTTGTTCATTAGCAAAGCAATTTTCTGCTTATTTGAATGTTCATTCTTCTTAATTAATAATTTTTCAGTACAAATCTAGTAATTGACTTTTTTCCACAATTATATTTTAACTAATATAAGGCAATTTCGCCAGAAGAAGTTGGATATTATAATAAATAATACAGTTAAATCACCAGTAACCAGCTAGATTTTTCATAAAATTTCTACTTTTTTGTTATAGTAGATTTATTTACAATGCACTAAGAAAGGCGATTAATTTATATGAAAAAACTTCATCTGCAACGGAACAAATTTTTAAAAAACGTATTGAAATGGTCATCAGGTTTGCTATTTATCTTTCATATAAATAGAAATATTGTGATGGACATTGCGATAGTTTTATATTAGTATAAAATAACCATGAAGAAATGATAGCAGTTTTTCCAAATAAATTTTTAAAAGTAAGAATTGCACTCTTAAAATATAAAAGTACCTTTACGTGACATTTATTGGAAATATTTTGGTTTTTCAAATTCATATTAAATGGTAGAAAATTTAAACAGGAATATTTTTGACTTGCCAGCAAATTTGAACAAGGTAAAAAAACAGCTTGCTGAAAGTATGGAACTTATCGCTGTGACGCATGAAACGAACGAAGTAATTGATATTATTTTTCCCATAAATATATATTTGCTAATCTCATTCGTAAAAATTAAATGAACCTTTCTTGCATAGCATCAAACATTTTTTAGCATCGTTTCGAACTGATTTTGGGGCAAAGTAATTATTCCAACAATTCAAGTTCAAATAGTACGATTTGTAATTATGAACTAAAAGATGGTAAATCAAATCTGAAAGATACTGAACTGAAGAATCTTCAGTTAAAAAACTTGGATTCGAATAGTGCATTTTACTTGAATTTGCAGAAAACTAATTCACAACTTCGTAATTTGTAAGTTTTTTAAAATTATTTTTTTCTTTATGTAAAGTTTATTCACAAAAATACCGCTTATAAGGCAATAACAAACATAACAAAATTTTCTAACCTCTAAAAGTAATGTTAATGTTACATTTTGTTTTAGTTTTTTTGAAACTTGGTTAGCAAAAGCGTTATCAAACGGAAATATAAGATTTTTAAAAGTTTAAAAATAATCTTCCACTATATATATTCAGGTTATTGGAAACATTAAATGACGCATTAGGAAAACGCCGAGAAGCAAGCGATTCAATGAAAGAAACTGAAAAAATGTTGGTTGAATTAAATCGAATATTTCCGTTAAGTAAATAAAGTAAATAAAGTCAAATATAAATTAGCACAATTGTTAATTGTTAATTACTTTATTAATAAATGTAAATAACTGGAACTTAAATATTTATTTATAAAAATTATGAATATATATGAGCAAAATTAACTACTATTGTATATTATAAAAGACGATATTTACAAATGAGGATAAATGTCAACCGATATAAAATCCTCTAATTTTTTAGAATGATGGTATATAAAATAATATAGAAAATTTTTTTTCCAAAAGCGGTAACCAACGAAACAATCAAAATTCAACCTCATTCAAAATTTTTAATTAAAAAATATAAATGAAGCGTTGAAACATTTTTTTAAGACTGGCTGGTTGGTATTTATGATTTTGGGTCTAAATTTCTCCATCGTTTTGGTGGCCATATTATATGAGTCGCTCTTGCGGTCATAAGACCTTTACTAACCTTAAAATTAAAGCTTATCGATAAACATGTTATGTTAAATGGTTATTATTTGTGAAATGATTTTACCGGTCCATAATAAGAACTATCCTTCGAATTTTGTTGATTATCTGATTTCATCCAACAGCAGCCAGCCGGAACTTCAAAAATTTCTCCAGCGTTCTTCAACCTTAAATCTTTTTTTTTTATTTGTTAAGGGAAATCTGTGGGTGAGAAAAATTATTAGAATTTCGGAATGAATAGATTTGGGAAATTATTCTTTCATACTTCAAAACAGAATAAGAATGCATATAAATCTGTATATCATTTTCCTGCCAAACAATTGAGAGTTTAAAAAATAAAAAAATTTAATAGGGCGTTTTGTCAAAATTAAGCGAAGCTAATAAAGAATAATATAAAGTATATAAAATTTTAAATTGGGATGGGAAATTATGTAAAAAGAATTTGCCTGGAAAATTGACAAAATTCAGCGTACCTCACTACAGTACCTTCTAATGCAGCAACTCGTTTTATATGTAAAGCCTTTGGATCATCTGGAGGACTGAAGTATTGAAATATTTTTTAAAATTATTTTTAAAATTTTTTCTTATTACAATAAATATATGAAAAAAAATTATTAAATCACTTAGCTTAATTTTGTTTATGAAAAGAAGGAAAATGAAATGAAAAAAATGAAATTTCTTTTACAAAAATCCTCTTCTCTTGATTCCACTTGTATTATTTATGCGATATATTTTCGTCAGAGAAATTTGATATTTAAATCTCTACATGGAATAGGGAATCATAATGGTTTAATTTTAATTTAGTCAATTAACCATCCATCCAATACAATTAATTGGAATATAGCACAAAAAATTTATAATGTTATAATATTATAATTTATAATATTACATGAAAGTTATAATTTCTCCAAGTTGAGGATTCATTGGGCCAATTTTTGAGAGCCATACGATATCACGTTTCCACCAACGAGAATCACTCCCATGAAGAGTTGGCTGAATTTAGAAGTGGTTTTAATTAATAGATAAACTCTCAAATTTATCACAAATCAAATGTGTATGATAAGTAACAGTGGAAATTTCAAAATATTGCTCAGGAATTTTGAAATTCGCACCAGAAGTCCTTAAATTTTAGTATAACCCATTATTACCTCCATTGATGAACCAAAGACGATTGCTGGATATCCTATGAGATCATAAAAAGTGATAGGCACACAAACGAATCCAATAAAAGAACAAAAACGACCGCAAAATTTTTTCAATAAACCAGAAAATTTAGATTTTGCAGCCGAATTGACTTGATTTTGCGCCAATCTTCCAATCATCTAAAAATTATCGCATTTTATCCCAAAAATCCCAAGAACCATACAACAAGATATGGGAACAATCCCAAAACCTCATTCAAATCCAGCGATTAAAGTTATCTTATCATTGCATGACTTTAGTATATTCGAAATACTGATTCTGCACGATTCCGACAAGTTATAAAATTGTGAAATAACAAACTTTATAATTTAAGAATGTTTATTAATTATATATAAAGAAAAAGTAAAAAGAAAAAGAAAGATAAAATACAATAATATCCAGACACATAGCTAATAAAATGATGTTCAATTTGAGATTAGAAATATTTAGCGCAAACACCAATTTAAAATTGAAAAATAATGGAAAAATGGGTTTTCATAAAACAATCAAATATTATAAACATAAACAAAAAGAACCGAAAAGACTACAACTGCTTAACACGTTTGCAAAACACGGTATTAAAATTGTCGCCTGTGGTATAAATCTGGATCATAATAGCTGGTTACAACCGTTCTGTTAGCAAACTTACGACCGGTAAGCGCCGCCTGCGCTTTCTGACATTCTTGTTTACTATTAAATTCCACGAACACCTAAGAAATTACATTAAAAGCGTATAAATATAAATCTATACCGGACTTCAGCACAAAACAAGTGGTAAACAAAAAGAACCTTCCCGACTCCAGTTACTTCAACACCAGGTACTGCGCGTGGTATTTCAAGAGATTTAACGATGCCATATTTAGCACATTCTTCGCGAATATCCTCCAAAATATCTGCAAAAAATAAAATAAGCAAATTTCTCCGCTATATTTAAAATATTAAAGAGATACAAAAAAATTTGGAAATATAACTTTTCATCTTTTTTCAAAAGTATAATCTGCATAAAACTACCTTCATATTCCTCATCATCTTTCAACTCATCTTCTGTTACCATATTCATGAGGCAAAGCACTTCAGTTGGTGGACCTGCGCCATGCGACAAATCGATACCAGCTACCTGAATTTGAGGGAAAGCACCAGCCGGCATAGAATTTCGAGCATTCGCGCAAGACAATTGCACAACAAGACTTTTATCACCAAGCTGCATGCCATTTAATCCAGCGATTGCCTGCAACGATTATGAATGAAAAGATGGGATAAACATGAGATAAAAATCAGATTTTAAAGCAATAAAGACTTGAAGGAAAAAATTTACATATTTCATAAAAATTAACAACTAACAAAAAAAGAAATTTTCAAGAAAAACCTGATCAGTAAGTGAAGGATCAAGATATTCAGCAAAGGCATAGCCTTTGGATACGCCTGTTGATTGCTCCGTCACTAAATTGAATGCTTTTAATTGTCCAAATGATGAAAGCAATTCTTTCACCTAAATAGCTCGATTCTGCATTTTTTTCAAAGAATTATTTCGACAGTATGAAAGAACTAAACGAATATATTCTGCCCAAAACTTTCGCTGCATTAAATCTTATATTGAATCTAAATGCATCTAAATTCGCGTCTAAGTGCACGGAGAAAAAACTTCGTCAATGTCAAACATTTGAATTTCTAGAAAACAATAAGTATATGGAATACCAAATTTTACCTAAACGGCTAGGTTAATAAACGAATGTTTCGATTTCCCAGCCCCGCTTTTTCAAAATTACCAAAAAATAAGTCAAATGAGCTGATTTCAAAAAGAGATTAAGTGGACCGTAATTTAAAAGACTTTCAGTGAGGGAGAAGAAAAATCTGAAAATGGAGAATAAAGTGTGGTCATACTCATCATGTGTTCGAACTTAATATCGCCCTGAAATACCTAAAAGGGGACAAAAATAGTTTTTGAAATCTTTCGTCCAGCTCAGTTGAGATACGAATAACAGTGCAAATATTGCGAATATCGTGACAGCCAGCCACTGAAATAATGTGGCTAAATTAGTAACAATAGGCATTGTTAATAACTTAATACCTCCCCAAACCATCTTTGATTATTTATGTTAAAAAGTATGTTATTAATCACGCAATCTTTTCGAAATGACCAAATAAAAAATTAAAATTAATTAGCCCCAATTAATAAATAAAACTTTTTCATTAAAAAAATCAAAAATTCATCAGAACATATAATCATACTTATAATAATCATGCCAACAATTTTGACTAAAAATAAAAAAGAAAGGTGTCATACTATATTCACCACTTATCACGCGAAATCCAAGGAATGGTTTCTTCATTAAATTGAGAAAGAAACCACACAATAACCACAAACAATATGCATAGATATTATCTTCAAGACTTTTCCAACCAATAATCAAACAGAAATATTTTCATTAATAAAAGACTTAATTTAACCAAAAAAAAAGAAATTCATAAACCTGGTAAATTAAACAAACCTGTTCAGCATTCAGGTAACTCGGTAAACCACCAATAAATATTTTGAATGGACTATCTGGGACGATATTCGATACTTAAATAAAAATGCTTAATTAAGAAAGTGACTATTCTTTTAAAGAAAGACTTTATCAAGAAAAATTTCTTACCTAACATATTACCCAAGTCATAACTAGTGCTCATTGGCTGATAATCACGCGGTCGTCGAATCTTCAACTGTTGACCCATAAAATTAATGCCATCGAAAGCCATTCCCGCAGTAGTCTCATCGATAGAACGGAATTCAATAAATGCGAAATTTTTGTCGAGATTCATCTGACAAGCAAGAACTGGATTCCCAGGTGCTTGAGCCAGGCCACATAAATGCATCTAAAGTAAAACTTGAAATATTACTTGAAATTACATTAAATCAAGGCTTATGTGAAATATTCTCTTCCTCTGATGGAAAAGCACCTATTGAAGCAGAACCTGTTGATTGAAAAAATCCAACATCGCATCTTCGCTACAACCAAACGGAATATTTCCAACATAAAGACGCCTAGACTGGCATGTTACTGAAGGACCAACAACTGGTACAGCTGACTGTACATTATTTCGAGGAATCTGGCCAGCAGCTTAAACATAACAAATAAATCAACCCCACCTTCACAGGCAAAAAGCATTTGAATAAAAAAAGTTAAAAATAATTAATAAAATTCCTAAAACAAAGAAAAAAGAATAAAACAAAAAAAAGAATGAAATGGATATATACTTCACCTTGTAATTCTTTGTATTCTTTAGGAGTTAAATGTTCATAACCAACGGGGGGAACATCCCAAAACTTATACTTCTTTTTAGGCTTTTCAGGTGATCGGTCTTTACTTCGACTGCGATCTCTATGACGATGATGACGGCGATCACGATCTCGACTGAAACAAAGATCCAAATAATATAAAAATCAACAGAATTATACCTCTAAAAAATCAAACCAAAATCAAATCAATCATTAACCAAATCAAATCGTTATAAATACTAACGATCTTGAACGCCGACGATCTCTATCACGACTTCTACTTCTGGTACGACGTCTACGCTCTCTGTCTTTATCACGGTCACGTTCACGACTGCGATCTCTGTCTTTACTGCTATGTCTATTACGTTTATCTTTATCATTACTTCGGTCCTTATCATCGCTATTTGCACTTGGAATATCCTGCTGAAACAATAATAAACAAATAAAATAATACCACTACCATTATGCAATATATGTCCCGATTTTCTCATAAATAAATAGATACCTTAGGTAGCATGGCAGCAATCTTAGCATCTAAAGGCGCTGCTGACGGTCCATCTTTTCGCTGACGGACTTCCATATATGCTTTAGCAACATCCTCTAAATTTGTTTCATTCTCAATAGGAGCTTGCTGCACTTCTGTCATCTGTAATAATTTAATTTTAATAATGAGAAAATCTAATTTTGATGAATCCCACCACCCCAAATTTTACATTATATATACTTGATATTTCTTCTGAAAGTCCTCATCATTTCTGGTTAGGATGGCTCCGCCGGATTCTCCGACCAACCTCACAACTCTTTGCCAGAGAACCACTTGAAGGCAGAAGTATAGAGAACTAACCAAAAATGGTCAATTACTCGATTTTTTGAAATTCAAGACCAAAAATCATACTTGCTTATGCAGCGAAAAAATAACCGCATTGGCGACAAGTAACCGCATCTACTACTTTATTTACTCAATTGAGCCTCTGGAGAACAAAGGTAAGCCTAAGAATCAAACAGCCTGCCGGATCAAAAATGGTCAAAAGAATAAAAATAATAACAAAAGAATAAAATAATAGAATAAAAATAACAATTTTAAACAATTTTAAAAATCGATAATAATTTTTATCGAAAGCAACATGACTTAAAAGTAAAGGAATTAAATAAGAGTAAAGAAATATATTACCATAATTAATATATTTTCATTATACAAGAACTTATTATATAAGAAAAAAATGTACATTTCCACACTATTAAATCCTTTTATTACTAATAATGTAATAATTTTGAATCTGGACAAATCGCCGTCTCAAAAGAGGAACTTATTTCCACTACATTTTCGCTCAATGAAGAATTTTTCCTAGAATATGACGTCCTTCTTAATTATGAAAGCAAGAACCACGCACTCATCCTTTTCCCCTAAGCATCAAAGAACGAAAATTAATCAACCTAAATCTCATCTCCATCCCACCCAGCACTTCTGTTTTTTCTTCCTCTAAAATGTCTCAACATGAGGAACTGAATGATCTCAATCTGAATGAGATTATCGCCCACAATGTCATAATTATGTTCCCTGTAAATCACTACCACTCTTCCCAAAAAAAAGTGATGATGCGAATCGCTCGCGCCTTCACCTCCAGGTGACTCCCTGGCACCTCAGAAATCACCACCAATCTCAGTCAAGCGAACCACTACTACCCAGAACTGATCGCACTTACTCATTACTTATATAATTCAGGAATAAAATTCAAGGCGCAAGAACCAATAATAGAAAACGTATTGATGCTCAGGCGTGACATAAGTGAGTTGAGTCTCGCAACGAATTTCTTTGGTACCAGTCAGTGGGTATACTGTAGAAAAAAGAGGAATTTTAAAATATAAATAAAGTATATATTTTTAAAACATATTGGTCTCTGTTTTGGCTTAAACTAGTTATAGGCTATTTTTTGTGGAGGGGGCTACTTTTTGGTTGGATAAAGGATTTCACATTTAGATGAGAAAGAGAGGAATTACTTTTAGGCTGAATTAAGGATTCCGCATTTAGGCTCGTATGAGGCTCGTATATTAGGTCGTTTCTTCAGTCCATTCTTATTTATTTCTGGTATTGTTTTACATTCTTTAAATGAACAAATATTGTCTTTTTAAATAATTTTTAATAATTTCATATGAAAAGATTTTTACAGAGTTGTGAAATTTTATTGGAAAAAAAACGAAACAAATCGAATTCCCAGGAATAAATAGGAATAAATTAATAAATAATAAATTTTTCAAATGTTATTCAATAATTTACCAGTGAAAAAACAAAAAAATTGGTTCTTTGAAATTTTTTAATTTATATTGAATCCTTACAAAAGTCTTTAAAAAATTTTCGGTAGTATAAATGATAAAGTGACTGCATTATACTTAAAGAAAGATGATAGCTTCTGTCGCTTGGACTGAGAAAGGTTAAGCGTTATGAAATTCTTTTGATAAGAGCAAGCACTGTAATTAAGAATGAAATCCTGATGGTGCTTTGGCTTCAAGAGGAGTCCGAATTAGTCTAGAGCCGATGCCTTTGACCACTCCTGTCTAAGGCACATATTTCGCATTACGGACCCGTCGAGCGGATAAGATATCACAAGATCGCATCCATCTTCGTTTAAATACCACTTGTATAAATAATGTTATCACAGAGCGCTGCCTTCGCTGTTTAAGGCATATTCTTCGTCGTCCACCACAGGAGTTGACGCATATTTCGTTATTTGCTAAATCTTGTGACAGTTGGCGTCAAAAGCGAGGTGGGCCAATCAAGACCTGGACTAATACGGTGAGAAAAGATTTTGAACGTATAGGTGGACCAACAATATATGGACTTAGACGATGGAAAAAGGAATGGTTTCCATTACTGTCGACGATGGCATCAGACCGCGCCACTTAGAAACGTCTTACTCTTGCCTTGTAGCCATTGGAGCCAGCCTAACCAGTAATGGTGAGAACTGTTAGACGAAGAAGAAGAAGAAAATGCTGTGGCTCTTAGCTTTTACTTCTAGAATCTCATTCTTCTGGTTAGTGGAGTCAGTTAAATTTTTAGTAATGCATACTATGAGGGAAACGACAAGGAAATATAAATTTAAATTTCAGATTTATTGTAAATATTGTAGTTTTTCTGTTTTAATAATTTATTTCATTGAGTAATTTATTTGAAGATCATTTTAAAAAATTTTTGCAAAAATGGGAAAGTTGTACGAATTTTTTTCCCGAGAAAGTATTTATTTTATTTATTTTCGTCAAATTTTAGAATAAATAAATTAACAATAAATAAAAAAATGCGTTCAGCAACAATTCGAAATCAAATTGAAGAAATTAAATTGAACGAAAATCTTCAAAAAGATATGCAAATTGTTAGTTTTCCTTTTTTTTACTAAATTTCTTATTAATTTTATTGCTTTTTATTATTTTTTTATTGGAATGTAGGTTTTTTCATATATAATATTGAAGCTAACGAAAAGTATTTTTATATTTTTATACTGATCTCAAGAAGGCATTGAAAACACCTTTTGTAACCTGCGGAGCCATCCTAATAGGTAATAGATAATAGATAAGGTTGTTAAAAGGAGTTTAATCTTGCAAAAAAACTACTAATTAAACTACTATTCTATTCAAATTGTTAATTTTCTATATTTAATCTAGAATAATAATTCTCAATCTCGGTAGGCCTTTTTTCATCACTTCTTCTAAAGGTGCTTCATGTGATGTTCCATTTTCAATATTATGCCCAGATTTTGCGAAACTCTTTCCTTTTTTCATCTTTTAAACCAGTATGTCGCTGTGATTACCGTTTTGATTAATATTATTTTGTGATTTGGGTAATTTTCTAGCTACCTTCAAATTATAATTTTGAAATTGCAAAGACGATATGGAAAATCAGATCAACTAACAGCAAATATGGTTAATCATCTTTTATTTTTTAAAGTTTTATTCATTTCGAGAATGCATGCTTGGATTATTTTGTCTAGGATTATTTTGTCTATTTCAGTTGCTCTACAATTTCCAGAAGGCCTTTTAATTTATTCATGTTTAATTTCTGACATTTTGGAAAAATATGCCGATTGTGAAACTATTATATTTGGCGATGTTACCTATGGTGCATGTTGCGTCGATGATTATACTGCTAAGATACTTGGTATATTTCATGGGATGTTCATCATTTCATCATTTATATTTATAAACAAAAAAATTGGAGAAAACATCAGGGACCTGTTGATTTAAAAATTTTATTTCAGTAATATTCTTTTAGGATGCGATTTGCTGATTCATTATGGTCATAGTTGCTTAATACCTATTCAGGATACGACTGGAATTCACTTATTATATATTTTTGTTACTATCGATATTAATATAAGTCATTTTATGGAAGTAATAAAGAATAATTTCACTACTACAGAACGATTAGCACTTGTTAGCACTATACAATTTATTTCTTCAATACAGGTATAGTTTCTTCAATGGTTTAATTTCTTTCGCATTATAGTATAACATAATATAGCATTTTAAGACAAAAAAATTTGGGCCATAAAACTGAATGAATGTTTTTTTGGTTTTTTAGTAATTAATGATAAAACTTTCTTAGAGTGTGAAATCCGAGTTATCGCAGTTTAATTATGATATATTTATTCCTCAGTGTAAACCATTAAGCCCTGGCGAAATATTAGGATGTACTTCACCAAAGTTGCCCAAGGACATCTCATCGATTATGTATTCATTTTTGCCATTTATATTTATACCATTCATATTTATATTTCTTTTTATTTTGGTTTATCTGGATCGGCTGGAGTTCGAATTGATAGATTCGTGTTTTGAGTGGTCTTAATTTTCTCATAATTTAAAGGCTAGTGAAATAGTTTAGTTGCTATGTTGAAATAGTTTTAGTTGCTATAGCATTATTTTATAATGAAATATTTTCATAGATATCTCGGCGATGGAAGGTTTCATTTGGAATCAATTATGATTCAGAATCCAACCATATCAGCTTATCAGTATGATCCATATTCAAAGTATAATTTTCGTTCTACTGATGTCTACTGATGTTTACATAAATTGTATAGAAGATTAAGTCGTAAGAAATGTGATTTCAGCATGTGAATTTTATTCAAAATTATTTGCAGCTTAATTTAGAAGACTAAGCCGTGAGAAATATGATTTCAATTTGATGGTGAATAAACGAAAAGAGGCGATTCGAGTGGCGAAGATTGCAAAAAGTTTTGGATTAATACAAGGATGTTTGGGAAGGCAGGGTAACATAAGAATTGTTGAGGTATTAGTATCATATTTTCTCTCTCTTTAAGTTTAGTATTTGCAATATTTATAAAAATGTAATACCTGGTTATTTATATTAATAATAATAATATTATTTTTTTGTTTCTACTTTTTTCCTTCTTTTCTTTTTCCTGACTTAGCTGCTTGCCATATGGTAGACAATTTAAAAGAACTTTAAAAGACAATTGGGAAGCAGAAATACTCCCCAACACCACTGTCCGCTTTAATAACAGGCTTACTTTCAAGGAGCGAATTCATGATACTATATCTCAGTTCATTTCGCTCTCTTTGTTTAACAAGATTATAAGAATGCTTGCAATTCAATAATTTTATCATCTGGCGCATAATTTTGATGACAGTTCAGGATTTAGAATCGAAATTGAAAGCCGCAAATAGAAAAACGACTCGAATTTTGTTATCAGAAATTTCTCCAGAAAAATTAGTACTATTCGATCACATCGATTGGTTAATTTTTTGCATATTTTTCTTTGGTCTTTGGTCTTTATATTTTTTAATTTTTTTATTTTATTAAATAATCATCAATTAAATATTTGTTAGATCATATTTTTATTATTTTACTAGTTTTTATTTTACATATGCGATGGACATAATGTTGAAATAATGTCTTATATTTCATATATTTATTGCCTTTTGGTTTTCAATGGTTTTTTTTGCAGTTTTGTGCAAGTTGCCTGTCCTCGTTTATCAATCGATTGGGGTGATGCCTTTTTTAAACCTCTATTAAGCCCATATGAATTGGCGATAGCACTGGAGTATTTAGCTTTTGATATATCTAATTATTCCATGGATTTTTATGCCAATGAAAGTTCTGGTCCGTGGACAAACAACCATGTAACTCATCGGCCAAAAAGAACGCATATAAAAATTGTATGAATTTTATGATTTTTTGTTTTTATTTTAATTTATTTTGTGTTGCAATGTTGTAATGTTTATAGTAATATTCATAAATAATAAAAACATTAGTTGTTGTTGTATTAAACTTATACTCTCATCGTTACTGGTTAATGGCTCCCTTTGTTGGCTTATAACAAAATGTTTTTTTTTCTGAAGTCATCCATGTGGTATAAATGGATAGAAGAGAAGTTAGCCTTATAGCCTTACTGCAATGATTGTTATTTTGATAAAACAAAGTTATATTGCACTATATTAAGAATTTCATTTGTTTTATTTAGCTAGCTTAACAATGGGAATAAACTAGCAAAGGGATGTGGTTCGAAATTATATTAATCAAAATCTGATTAATTTATATGGATTTATTTATACTGCTTTTGATCGTCAGAGGGTTTGAGGGCGGTTACAGAAAGTTCACGAATTCACGAATAGTTCGTGATGTTAGAGGAAAAAGAACAATGTATTGTGGAGAGAAGTGCGCTGAAGTTAATTTTTTCACCTTTGTTAGGTACAAAAAATTTCTTCTTTAAAAGTTTTTTTGTTTTATTTTCCAGTGAAGCACGTAATTATTAATTTGAGAACAATTTATCTAATTTGCATTTTTCATCAAATGGAAATCTTATTGTTCATTTTATTTACTGTTTTATCTCGTTTCGTTCCATTCATATATTTCCTAAAATTAGAAAAAATAAAAGTTTATAAAATACTAATTCAAAAACTAATTTTAGTCTAAATTATCAAAATTTTCCCGAAAATAGGTTTCATTCGATATTTCATAAAAATCGTTATAAAGAATTAAGCCAGTTGTTAGACCGACCATTTTTTTGAGGGCCTTCACCATTATTGTGTAGACTCACTTCCATAGCTTATTGCTCTAGAAAAATATACCAGGGGTTCTTTTAGCGATAGAGGTAGAAAAGAGTCGCCAACAGAATCCGAATTTTTGAACGTATTTGCTGTCTCTGCGGAATAGAACCTCAGCATCGGTGCCCCTGGTCAATAACCCAGTGAGCCATTCTATACCCCATAATAAATCATTATGGATCATACTGATTATTGGTCCTATTTTCAGGTATAAAGTAAATGTATATTTTATTTCATTTTATTCAGTCGGGAAATCGATTTTCATTCCCGACTTATCAGTAAAAGTGAGGTTCGAATGATATGGTAAAGCCCATCTATTTTCAAATAATTGAATTATCTTGATAAAAGCTATCAATCAAAATAGAAATGGCACGTGGAGTTAAAAGAAAGTTTCTGATAAATCAAGTAGATGCAACAATAAATCGAACGAAAAGTTTATCATTCGCCAGTGCAATGTTTTGTTTTAAAATTATTCGAATATTTTCTCCTATAATTTTCGATAATTTTAACAATTTTTAAAATATTCTCACTTATTTGTGTTGGTTTTAAATTTCGATGGAATTAGCTGTTCATTGATGTTAATTGGTACAGAACTTTGTGATGTACCATTCGCTTTGTGCAGTTTTATCCTCTGAAGATGATTGCAATTCTTCCGACAGCCAAATGAAATAAGCAAGGCAGTTCGAAATTTTTTGTTTAAAAAGCAATAAGTTATTGGGTTCGCACATGACGAAATGTAGCAAAGAACGGTTATCGCGGTATTTAGCTGCGAATTCCATACATCGAACGTCTGCAAAAAATCCTTAAATTATTGGTGGAACGGGCTGATACTTACAAGTACCAATAAGTCTTTCTCGACTCAACAACTCAGCATTAGCACAAGAGGTAGAATTAAATTACTTTGAAGGAATCCTGAGCTGTCAGCAATAACCACCACATGTAATTCGGTGTCCAACAACAAAAAAATATAATAACGATAACAATTAACATTCGTATCACCCGTTGTTTTGCGATAATCGCCTTTTCGCTGTAAAAAATTTCGTCTCTCAGATGATATAAAGGTTTAGGGCAACGTACCTCAAACGCCATATTATCTGCTTCGTAAGTTTTTTAAAAAGTCTTGGAAATTTAATTTTTATTTTTATACATTTATATACATTTTATAAATCTTATTTTTTTTGTTTTGCATTAACAGCACCCATAGCATTTCTGGCTTGGCTGACTCCATTGGTTATTAGGAGAACACATTTTTGCCGGAGTCACTTTGAGGATAGACCACAATGATAGACCCTATCACTGAGCTGCGTGTTTGAGTAAACTCGCAATACGGCTACGGATGTAGTATGGTTCCCTACAGCATTCCTTCTTACCGTAAGAAACGGTCGCTGAGCGGGTCCAATTAAAAGGCATTAATTATAATAGCGACTTCAGACTTTCCTTCAGTTTCATTTTTATTGATAATAAGATTTAAATTTAAAATATAAAATCATAAAATGCGTTTACCTATGCGTTGATCGAAGCTGATTTATCTGCTGATTAATAGCATTCGATGAATTCGATGTGTTAGTTATCATACTCAAATATGCTTTATTAAGTGAACGTTTTTCCTTATCACGATTATCATTTTTTGATCTGAAATTTCAACCGTTCTTTTATATGTATATTCGCCGTATATAAAATATATCCGCGTAACTTAGGAAAATGGCCATTTGGAATCACCTTTCGTTTGCATTTGCAGCACCGCCAAATATTTCTTGTCAAAAATAAATTTTTCTAAATTTCCTGGTTTAATTTAAGTGAGTCGAGCGAGTCGTCGCCGATAAGCGTCACGACGATTCTTCTCCTGTCTCGCCTTCATAACGTTTCGCTGCAGTTCAGAAGTTTCAAAGTGTCCTTCATAAACTCAAATCTATTCTTACTTATAATCGGTTAGCAGAGGTCACTTTCAGTGAACGAATCCTTGCGCTATTATGACAATTATGTAAAGCTAATGCTAGCACTATACTGTTTTATATATACCTTTTTGAGCTCTTTTTTTTAGTTGGTTGAAATTTTTTCCATTTATCGGACTTTGGTGATTTTACAGCGATATGGTCGACACGATCATCGTCCTCTTCCTCATCATCTATATCGTTTATTGAACCTAAAGTTAGCAGTTCTTTGTCGAAATTCGTCTGTAAATCTCTTGTACGAAAAGGCATTAAAGGTACCAAACAAGAAAGTGTTTGGTATCATTCCATCATTTTTGGTTGGACTTGCTTGATTGGCCGTTAGTAAAATTAGATAAACAATTTTGCCAGATAGTCGCTTACGGACAGAAGTATAAGTGAGGAGCCCTCGGGACCACTTAAACACAAGATTTCGTCAAAGGAGATCGAATAAGCTGGTCACATTAAGTTAAGTTGATGAGCCATTGCAACAGTTGCTCGTTGTTAAGCAAATCTTGCGACTCAATATATCATTTAAAAACCCATTTAATGTGGGAATAATCACTTCAGAATTAGAAATCGTTCTCATTTCTTATATCGTATAGTTAATACAAAATTTTATTTCGATAATCTCTATGCGTAAATTTCCATAAAATCTAAAAAATGCTTTATTTAATTAATATAAAGAATGAAAGAAAGACCTTCGACTGCTGCAATATCCATTTTCATACCAATTTTTAATGAATGTATTACGGAACCATAGAGAATAACCATTAAAAATAGTGGAATAAACAATAAAACCGATGTCATATATATCTGACAAATTTATTCATTTAATTTTATTTTTGCTGTTATATTATTATATAAAGTGAGTATATTTCGTAGGAAGAATTGGTGCTCCTCAGAGTTGTCCTTCAGTTATGTAAATGGATTATAAAGACTGCTTGCCACGGCATACGTGAAGTGTACGAGTCAGCTCAGAGAACGCTCCTTGAATACGCTAATGGTTGTTTAGTTGATATTTATGAAAATTGCAAGAGCTGAACTGAACAGTAAACTGTATCGGCGAATTCGGTAGAAATCGGATTCAGAGTCAACATTAACAATACTAAATTCTTTTCGTTTTTAAGTACCAACCGCTGATGAGATATCTATTTTTTATTGGTTCACTACGATTTGCGGAAGTGGCGAAATTTAAATAGCTTAAATTTACTCGAATACCAAATGGCCAAGCGAAAAACGAATTCGGATAAGCGCAGCTAGAAATGCCTTTTTTTCCAGCGAAAGTTCTGTGGAATTGCTGAGAAATCACCAACAAAAGGAATTCAAGCACAGTATACACCATCTTGCTATACATAACTAATAAGAGAGGAGAGTAAAAAGCTATCTTTTCCTTTGACCAGATGTCTAAGGGATACTTTACACGCCTGCCGAGCGGATAAAATCTCATATGATTGCATCCATCTGCATTTATCGTAATGTTATCGCAAAGCGTCGTCTATTCTACTTCACTCAGGTTTTTTAAGTTCTTCACCCATATCTGGTTATTTGCTAAACACTGATGAATGATATCAAAAGCGAGGAAAAGCAATGGTTTCTATTATTACCCTGGCTTCTATTATTATTACCTGGACTGAACTACTTGGAAAAACCTATAGCAGCAACCCAGTAAGCCTGCCGGACATAGTTAATAAGTTCGTCGAACCATACGTTTACAATTGCGAACCACCAGTAGAAGAAGAAATAATCTCCATTATCCATAAGTCGCAGATATGTGTATATAGGGGGGAATTGCCAGACTCCTTCGAAATTAAAACTGGTGTCAAGGCTGCGTTCTTTCCATTACAATATTATGATCGACTATGATCGACTATGCTGAATTTTGGACACCGCTTGCCGATATTCAAGAGTCAATCCAGAGCATCGTATCACAGATTTTAAATACGCTGATGATGTAGTCTTTTTCCAGTTATGATGAAATGCAAATAATGCTAAACAACGTGTCAGCAACTGCAGCGAGAATCGGACTTAGGTTCAATGTAAAATAAAACGAAAGTCTTTTCGTCTTATGTGCAAGAAGCTGGTAAGATGCCTCTTTTTGTAAATTCATTGCCGGTTGAGAAAGTGCGTGATTTTAAATAAGTGCCTTGGATCAAGTGCTTTAATATTGAATAGCCAGGCAAAAGACGAAATTACAACTTGGATAACGGCAACTAGAAATGCGTTCTTCCAGACAAAACTTTTATGGAAGCTTTGTGAAATCACCCATAAAAACGATAGTCCGCGTCTATATCGCTGTGATTCGCTATATGGTTGTTAGGCAATGAGAGTGGAAAAAAGTATGAAGTTATCTGCCTTTGACCATTCATGTTTAAGACATATTTTACGGGTTCGTCGATAATGGATAAAATCTCACATGATCGCATGTACTTTCGTTCAAATAGCACTTGAATTAACAGTACCATCACAGAGCATCGCATTCGCTGGTTAAAGCACATTCTTTGTCGCCCACCACGAAAGTTGACACATATTTCGTCACCTGCCAAACCCTGTGATAGGTGGTGTCAAAAGCGAGGTTGGCCAATCAAAATCTGAACTGATGCAGTCAGGAAAAATTTTGAACGTATAGGTGAGCAGCAATATAAGGAATTAGACGATGGTAAAAGAAATGGCTTCTATTACTTCCGACGATGATATCAAATTGTGCAGCTTGGAAACGTTTTATCCTTCTAGTCAGTGGAACAAGCTTAATTAGTAATGGTGAGAGTTATTAGAACAAAAAATCCAGTGAGCCATTCTCTACCTAATGAGAAGTGTTTGGGATCAAACGTTTTCTTTTATGATTAGGAATTCTTATCAGTGTCTTAATTCTTATCAATCAAAGTTGGAATATCAGTACTTTAAACTCAACTAAACTCTAACCTCAGCTTCAACTTAAGTTTTGCCAGTAAAATACTTTAGACCACGATGGAAAAAACTACCATTTGCAAGTTGAAAACAAGGTAAAATAGAATTTAGCGAAATTAAAACTGATTAAAATTCGCAAGATTAAACTGAGCATTATCAGTGTAATTAAAAGAAACGGGCTAGCAAATGTTAATTAATATATAATAAAAATTTGAATATAAAGTAATTTAAAAATTAGCTAATTTTTTCATTGGTTTTTTTATTTTATTAGTGCTACCTTAAAAGATTTTTTAAAAATTTTTGCATAGATGAATTCGCAAAATAATTAAATTAAATTTTTAAAATCCTATTTAAATCCGCTATAAATCCATTAAATACGAATTTGCAAATAATAGGTATTATTGCCGAGTGGATAAGCGTATCGAAGGAAGATTCGGACATACCTGATAGCCGAAATGTATGATTGGCTGAAATCGTGGTGCACAAGTTAAACCATTAATATTATACGTTTGAAGTTCAAACATGAAAAGCATAAAGAAATTGGCAAATATTGATATCATCCATACTAAAATTATCATAGCATATGCATGTGAACGAGTTTGCCAAATACGAGAATGCAGTGGCCGGCATATCGCATAATATCGTTCGAATGCGATTACTGCTAATGTATAAGCAGATGCAGTTACAACAACCGCTAAAATAAACAACTTAATTATCTTCCCAGGCAATTACATATGAAAAGTAGTTATACGAGCTGTTACTAGTTTTATGAATTCTTTGTTCGCCAATCGCCGCTTCATCGACGGATAATGCATATTGTAGTGTGAACTAGGAGCTAAGTGAAAACCCGCCTGACAATTAGATTTATGAGCAAAAATTACGGTATAGTTACAAATCGTAGTCCGATTTTCGAACGCTTTTTTTGTCTCAGACATTTTGGCATTTGGTCAATTCTGAGGAATAAAATTTGTCTGCGCACTTCTCAATCACCGAAAATAAAATGTAGGTTAACTATGCAAAGCAATCAAATGTACGACGGGAGGAAAGTGAGAGTTCGAAGAAAATTTTCCACTTTCTAATAAAACATAGAAACTAACGTTGCAAGTAAGCAAATAATTTACATAATAGATCACCAAACATCCAACAATAAATCACCGAACTGACCAAGGTTGGAGGCATACAAATGACGGAAAGCATTAAATCAGATATAGCCAAATTTAATAAATAAATATTTGTTATTGACCGCATCGTTCGTTGCTGAAACAGATTTTTATTTTAATATTTTTGGCCTTTCAACAGCGAAAGATTCTGAAGTAATGGTTGAAGCAATGTCAAATTGGTTCCACTGTGGGTAAGCACAATGCCTTCTTTCTATTTTTCATTTTTCGTCTGGCTGGCCCTATTGTTTCAGTGCATAAAACCAGTTAACCAGAGGGCCATTTGAGGATTGAACTACATAAGGGTCCTGAGCACCACTTGATTTCACTTTTAATGATGTGCCTTCCAATAAGGAGCATTCGAAGTCATGATGGCTGAATTTTGTTGAAACGATATCATTTGCTCCTTTCGTATGAAAGTTTAATTCTAGTAATCAGTGGAACTATCGACGTCAAAAACCTATGAAATGTTCATTGTTTATTTTTTATCATTTATCATCGAATTAACACGAACATTGTCAAGAAAGCGTTCAAATTCTTGACATGCAGTTTCTTATCACATTGTTTTCATGACGTTGATCGATTATAACTATCGAATAATAAATCTTGTTTATTTGCTTTTTTTTGGAGAAATAAAGGGCAAATTTATAGGATTGCAATCGCTTTTCTTTGCGGGCAATGCTAATCGACCAGCGTGATGTGCAGTCAAAATTAAAGGAGGAAGGCGACAGAACTGAACTCCGAATTGGGCTTCGGTAAATATCGTATTCGTAAGCATTGAGAGAGAATTAACGTGATAAAGTAGCTCTTAGGATTTAAACGTTAAATCTATGATAAATATATGTTTGCTTCTTATTGCGACTACCATCATTAAATTGTCAATTTTGACGAATTGCCGAGCGAAAATGTTTCTCTCTTATCAATTTCATTACAAATCCTTATTATTAATTGAAATTCAATGTTAAAATAAAATAAACAATTTGACAGCCCTTACTTTTCGACATTTTCTCAATTGACATAACAACGATATTTGTCAACTGCGCGATTTATAAAAATATATAAAATTGAAAGAAGCAAATGAAAAATTTGACTTCAGAAGATTTCGGAAGCGCATAACTCGTGCAAATTGATTTAGGTTGATTCATATTAGTGGATTGCGAAATCCAGGGACATACAAAAAAACATAAGGAATTACTGGAATGATGGCTTATCGCCGAAGGTTTTTTAATTCAACTATTTCCATTACCTTTTTTATTCGAACGAATGAATTGATAAAGACACATTTGATTTCATCTAAGCCACTGATTTATCTCTAAAATCGGGAAAAACGAATTCTTTTCCAGCTTTTCGAAGAAATTACTCGCTTTGAACGATGTTTGATTAAAATTTAACACATAAAAAAGATTCGTTACCTGTAAAATCACAACAACGACGATCGAGTTGCCAATAACAGATAGAAAAAATATTATGCAAAATGAGATAATTGTTAAATAATTTTCAGTTGATGGACGAAATCTGCAGTCATTCTCTACTTCCATAAATGTTGTGATTGTAGATGAGCTTGAAAAGAAAGAAAATTTAGAGAAATTTTTTGGAATGAAAAAATTAAGTTATTAGTTGATAGTTTAAAAATTAAGTTAATAGTTGTTATGAGCCTATCTGAAATCGCGATAGGCCATTTCTACAATAACAAAAATAAAAATGCGACTTAGCGGAACTCGAACCTCCTATCTTTTGTGCGATTTAGTTTTTACCAAGTTATGCAGCTAGTTTTTCAAAGCAAATTAGATTAAACAATACATAAAAAAGAAAAGGATGCTAGAAAGTTTCAAGAATTATGTTTTTGTGTGTTATTATTGCGGTTTTTGCGCGAATGCTGCGATTCTCAAAAAAAGATAGCATGGAAGGCAACTACCATTATCACTGTTAAGGTTAATTTACCGAAGCATCAAAAATAGTGAGTTGTATAAGCAATGTATCGAAAAATAAAGAATCACAGTATCAAAGCACCGAATTTAGCCAATTCAATATAGTGACGTGTCACGATAAATGGCCACAAATTTTAATTAATTCTCTAATGGTCTTATGGAATTTAAATTAAATTTGATCATTTGCTCTGAATTTTCGCAGTCATTTTTTCGTGTTGTATGCCTTCTAAAGTATGGCTTCCAATCTATAACGAATCAAAGGCGACAAAATCAATGAGCCGAGTTGCTTAACGGTCTTAACGATCTTCTAAAAGTATATTTTTTGGTTAAATTGCCTAACGGCTCGCGTCATTTGATAAATTCTTATAAAATAAAAAATTATGGAAATTTTGTGGTGTTTTATTCAGTTGAATTGAAGTCACATTTCGAAATTCTTTTCATTTTTTGTTGTTCATTTTCTTTCAGATTTCGCTTCTTCCATTCTAATAATTTAAATATTGTAACAAATCAGATCAGTGGTAAATATTAGTTGTATTTTTTTCCACTCATCACATCTATCACATTTAAATTTTGTTTATTCAAACCGATATTATATCACTACACACAATGGAATATGGGTTTTAGGTTGCACTTTTTTCTTCTCACCATCACTGCTGACTCCAACGGCTACAAGGGTAAGACGCTTTCAAGCGGCGAGGTCTGATGCCATCGTCGACAGCAATAGAAGCCATTCCTTTTTCCATCGTCTAAGTCCATATATTGCTAGTCCATCTATACATTCAAAGTCTTTCCTGACCGTATCAGTCCAAGTCTTGATTGGCCCATCTCGCATTTGACGCCAACCATCACACGGTTTAGCAACTAACGAAATATTCGTCAACTCCTACATTGGACGGAAGAGAATGTGTCCTAACCAGTGAAAGCGACGCTCTACGATAATATTTTATTAGTACAAGTGGCATTTGAATTTAAGTGGATGCGATCGTTTGATATTTTGTCAACTCGACAGACCCGTAAAATGCATCTCATAGAGTGGTCAAAGGTAGTCAGGCATGAGGCTTTCCTAATATCCTCCACTTTCATTGCCTATGTCTCGCGGTCATATAGCAAGATTGAACGAATCGCGGTTATTCAGATAGGGACTTTCGTTTTTATAGTGATTTCACCACGGCTCCATAAAGGTTTCGTCAACTCGAAGAACGCATTTCTAACTGCTGTGATCCGAGTTGTAAATAACGTCTTTTTGCTTGGCCATTTAGAATGGATCCAAGGTATTTAAATTCATATACTTCCTCAATCAGCAATGAATATAAATGAAATGAATTTATAAAGAGATATTTTATCAGCTTGTTGCACGTAAGAGCAAAAGGCTTTCGTTTTATTTACAATGACTCTCAGTCCGATTTCTCGCTGCTGTTGCTGACACGTTGTTTAACAAAATTTACATTTCGTCATAAATGTCAACAAAAAGGACTACATCAGCGTATTCAAGATCTGTGGTACGATGTTCTGGGCTGCTTTGGATTCTTCTTGAGTGTCGACAAGCGGTATCCATTGTCCAGTCTATCGCATAGTGTAGGGGAAGGAGCATCAGTTCTTATTTCGAAGGAGTCTGTCAGTTCTCCACATACAGACTTGCGCCGACGTACACTGATAAAATGCCTTTAAGTCAAATGATCTTCTCTGGAACACCATCGCGTGCCATCATCCTCCAAAGTGTCACTCTATCAATATAATCGAAAGCAGCCGCAAAGTTGATGAAACACGTGACGTTGGGTTGCAAATATTTGAAGCGACATTCCAACCCCCTTCTTAATGTGAATATTTGGTCAGCATAACTATGCCCTGATCTAAATTCAGCTTAGGGCGCGTCCTGCTATCCCGTACTTTCATAAGTCTGTTGAGTAAAGGAAGCGAAAATCTTCGCTGAGACGTCTAGTATGTTAATTTCTCGATAATTGTCGTAGTATGTCCCATAATCTTTTTTGAGAATTGGGAGATGAATTGTTTTGCTCTAATCATCTGGTAATATTTCTTTTTCCCATACTAAAGAATACATTTGTTGAACGTGCGTTATGAAGAACGATGGACAGCATTTAAAGACTTCAACTCGAAGCCATTTTCTTCCGGAGTTTTATTGGCCTTAAGCTTATGGACAACAGAGATTATTATAGAATCATTATTTCTTTTTCTATTGGAGGCTTGTGATTGTATGCGTATGGTTTGGCGAATGTATCAGTTATATCAGGGACAACAGATGGCGCTTCATGGTTAAATTTGGCCTCAAAGAATTCTTTCCATCTTATGAGGCGGTCATTAATCAGGTTGCACCGAAAAAATTATGCTTAAATGATTTTAAAAAATTACAACAATGATCGGTTAATTAAAATAGACATAAAATAGATGTTAGCAAACCATGCGGTCTATGAACTTGGCCCAGTATGCATTCAGTAATGCCCAATGCATTCTCACTCATACTTAGCTCATTGTAGTCATTGTGCCGTAAGTGTATCTTTTCTTTCTTTAAAAAGTGTCAAATTTCATGTTATAACATATATATATTTGTAAACTGCACATTATAATAGCGTCAAAAAATATAATAAATCTTTGATTAATGCAATTTTCGATAACAGTTGTCTCAATAAATATTCGAGAAATAAAGATATACTCTTAAATTGCCTCCTTAATTATTAATTTAATCGTTCTAAAAGCTATTATTAAGATGCAAATTAATTAAAATAAGCAAGATTTAGAAAAAAGTAAAAAATAAGCGAAATAAAAAAAAAGAATAACTTTGAGAATTCGGACGAGTGAATACAAATTTTACTGAATTTTTCTGGCTTTTTTTTATAGGTGAAACAATTAAATTAAATTTTAGCAAAAAATTAATAAAATTATTTAAATTAAATATTTTGCAAATCTTGCATTATTCAACTGAAATATTACTTAAAAATTTTAATATAAAGCAAACAATAAATCAGTAAATAAGAAAATGAAGATGATTTATGAACGAACATAAAAGAATTAAATAATAATAATTTCCATGCTCGTAGGATTCTATTCTTTCGAATATTCTAGGATTCTATTCGAAAAATCTATACCATTATGTTTCTAATTTTATTCTATTATTGCTTATTTAATCAATTACTTAATAAAATAATTT